CCATCGCAATGATGAGTATCGTGACCAGAGATCCACCATCTGCTAGCCTTGATCGAATAACGGTAGATATGTTTGCCTCATAACACACCGGCGCTAGATGGTGTCACTGTGCTGGCTGGGCCGGGGATGATGCATGGGAGGGAGGGCAGTGGTCAGGCACAAGCGGGACCGTGTCTGCACGCGAAATGTAAGTGCTCACGCTACTTCGCCGACCACCTGGACAGCCCATTCACATTATGCAGGAGGCAATATATTGCCTTCTAACAGCTCACCCTCTGAGGTTGCTGTGTCAACATATCTTCTCCCCGTGCACACTGCACTTCTTCAGAATGCTTTGCTGATACACATGATGACACTTGATTTCCAACTACAATAGACAGAAGCTGCCACAACTGCCACTTTCTTACTGCAGTCCGACTCCAGACACTCAATGCACCCCCCGTGGCCGGTTACAGGTGACTCTGCTGCTGTGTGACACCCAATTTACATGATGACACTCTGCTGCTGCTCGAGAGGATGATGCTGCGAGTGAGTGATGAGCAGGCATGAGTGCAAGAGAGGGAACGGACTGAGGAAGCGAAAGTGATTCAAAAACGACATTGGAGAGAGGGATGTGTAGTATGGGATGAGATATGGGATGGGGCATGGGATGGGGGATGGGATGAGATGTGAGTTGAGGTGAGGGATAAGGTATGGGGTGATGCATTTGGGTGTTATCATCAGGCCCCTAGATTCGTTTTGAGGTAGTCTGACGCCTCAGAGTACACCCCTCTTCCTAGTCTGGCTGTCAGAGTTACCTATTTTTTTTAGTCTGAAAACTCAGACAAGCACAACTTCTTTTGTCTGAACTGTCAGAGTTTACTTCAAATTTTAAGATGTTCATGCAGTTTCATAACAGCATAGCTATAATAGCATTGAAGCTGATTACAGCATACCAACGCAATTGTGCGGCCAGAAATGGGGCACTCTGATTGGTCATTTGTCAAGAGTTAGGATCACTGAGCAGTCAGGGTCGAGTCGAGGTGTGGGCATCAGACAATGGCCTCGTGCAAGTGCCAAGTGTGGCAAGCTCCCAATCAGCTGACCTGGCAGCAGGCACGGTATCGCTCGGAACTTTTCTGTGCTGGGCGCGCTGGCTGCAGCAAGAGTTTTCAACTGTGTACACCCTATGTGCGCGGAATATTCTCTCCTAAAGTTGCAGATTCAAAATTTTGACTCGGTTTGGGAAGGGGAAATGATGTGCGGTTCTGCTGAAGTACGAGACTCATATGTGACACGGCTTTCGGTTGCACCAATTCGCTTTTCGCCATGTGCGATTCGCTAAAATCGTTTTGGCCATGTGCGATTGGCTATCTAGTTTCACAATTTAAGGGTTATTATAAGCCCCCAATGAATTCGACACTCGAGATAGCGTCGACAAAGTAGTGTATCCTTGTACCCCTACTCGAGCAGTTTTATCCGGAGGAAATCGTTAGTGCTGGCCCGTACACACGTGGGTGTATCGAAAAAAAGTTTCGAGGAAGTTTCGTTCCGATAACCTTTCATTCAGTCGGCGGAAACCCATGTATAACCGGTTTCAGAGTGGACCCCCGATACAAGTTTGAGGCTCAGCCTACACTACTATAACTACTCTGAAATTTCAGACAAGTCAGTTAAAAAAACTCTGAAAAATCAGACAGGGTGCATAAAAAAAATCTTTGAGTTCAGACCAGGTACAAAAAAAAAGTCTGAACGGACTCTGAATCAGACTCCAAAGTCTGATATCTAGGGCCCTGGTTAACATGTACATTCAAAAAGTAAGAAATACACATATGCCTGTGTGTACTTGTCTATTCTTCAAGGTGCATAGAAGAATACCTGCCACACTCACGCCTGCCTGAGATGCGAAATGATCTGCCGCACTCCCCTCGCATTCCCCCTGCAAGCGAGGCATGTGCAGTTCGATGCAGGCTGCAGTGCTCTAGTGTAGGTGAGGGCCCATTTGCCCTTATTCTCAGGCCGAGCAACTCCTTGCACTGCCTCCAGATGAATTGAGCCACGTGTGAGTCGATGCAGTTGTTGAGCTGGTGGGCGAAGGGGGAGGGGGAGAGAGAGCGGGAGAGAAGAGGGGGAAGGTGGGAGGTGGGGGGAAGGGAGAAATAAGAGGAAAAGGGGAAAAATGGTGAGGAATGGGGAGTTGAGAGAAGGTCAGAGAGAAGAGTGGCATGTGTGAGTCGATGGCGGTCCAGCTGGCTGGAGGGGAGGGGGAAAGAAGGGGCGGGGAAGGGGATGAGGGGAGTTGAGACACGAAAAGTAAGGGTGAGTAGAGGGGAGTGAGGACAGCTGGTGGGGGAGGCCAACGCTGCCCATCGATGCTCATGAACACTTGCATATTCTTGGTATTTACAACCGACTCACAAGTCACAGCAACACATGCACCACATCTCATCGCTCCAACACCTGCTGCTCAATACCACCCCTTAACCCCATTGCCCGTCACCCCCCAAGCACATTACCTGAAGGTAATCTCTGCTGCAGCAACAGATAGCAGAGACGTGACAACCTTGACCCTCGTGGCAACGCAGAAGGGCACGTCCTCCAAAGGCAGCGACTTGGCTCTCGGCCTTGCTTGGCCTGGTCCAGCACATCGGAGGTGATCATAAGGAGATTGCCCCCCGATGTGCAATGCCAAGCCGTGCATGCCGAGCAACACTCCGTCACGCCGGGCTGGGGCGGGCAAGGAGGGAAAGGGGGTAGGGGAAGGAGGAATATGGGAGGAGATAAGAACGCAAGGCAGCAAAATACATGGGATGAAGGTGTATGTCTTATGTACTCCAGTGAACAACCACACTACCAGCACCTAGTACCACAAGTGAATCCGTACAGGCAAATCCAGGGCAACGACATATTGCCATTGTGAATGTGGAGACATTAGGCATGAGCATGGGCCCGGCCCGGGCTTGCCCAGGTCTGGCCGGAACGAGTCGACTCATGAGGCCGGGTTGAGGCCAGACCATCCGGACCCAGTTCGGCATGCTGAATAGTCGGCCCGCACATAAGGCTGCGCCGTCTCTCGCCCAACCCGAGCCAGGGTTGGTAGGCCCAGGTCGGGCCGGTCAATGCCCAGCATTCCTCTTTGCTCCCACCCACTCACACACTCCCCTTTTCCGGCCACACACCCCTTCTCCCACCCACACACTCGCCTTCTCCCACCCACACACTCGCCTTCTCCCACCCACACACTCGCCTTCTTCCGCCCACACACTCGCCTTCTCCCACCCACACACTCGCCTTCTTCCGCCCACACACTCGCCTTCTCCCACCCACACACTCCTCTTCTCCAGCCCACGCACCCCCTTGCTCGAACCGCAAACAAATTGTTTGCCCGTGGTCATGCCTAGTTCAGTGGCATCCATCCAGACACAGCTGCTCGTAGCCTACTACAGTGGAATCATAACAGTTCTCCTCAGATCTAGCCACCATATGTATGCTAGTGTGGAAAGCTCTTTGATGCCCACACCGCTGTATCATATGGACATAAATATGGTAAGTAGACTGACCTGAGATGTTTCAATACAGACACATGGCAAAGGGCACGACCAGAAAGTCTGGTTGTGTAAGAATCGATAGTGACGGACGGAGGGAATGAGTGGCTAAAAAGAAAGTGTCACGGAGTCTGCACATTTGCATACGGAATACAGAAGAGAGCACTACAGTCTCTGTTGCTCAAGCTGCAAACAACATGTTTGCCCCATGCATCTCCTCCAAACTAAGCAGCGAGTCAATTCTACCCTCACTACTCTCCCTTCCCTCTACTTAACCACCTGCCTATGCGCCTGCACACATCCTCGCTGCGAATACAACCGCCTTTCAGGATCTGGGGAGTCTTCAGTTCTGTGAGGGCAGTCAGATGCTGCAGCCCATCAAACGTGACTGCAGTCCCATTCAGCCAAAGCTTCTCCAGCCCTGTCAGCCTCCCCACATGCACCATGCCAGCATTTGTCACACCCCTGCATCCAGACACATCAAGCTCTTTGAGAGCGTGGAGATTGTTCAAGTGTAGCAGAGCAGAATCTGTGACTGCTGTTGCGCCCAACTTCAGGTTTTCAAGCCCCATCAGCTTCATCACATCCACCATGCCAGCATCTGTCACGCCCTTGCATCTAGAAAGGGTCAGCTGTTTGAGAGAGGAAAGGTCTGTCAGGTGTGACAAACCAGCATCTGTGACTGCCGTCTCACCCAGATGAAGGTTCTCGAGCCCTGTCAACTTCCTCGCATGCACCATGCCAGCATCTGTCACACCCTTGCATCGAAACACATCCAGCTGTTTGAGAGAGGAAAGGCCTGTCAGGTGTGACAAGCCATCATCCGTGACTGCCGTCTCATCCAAACGAAGTTTCTCAAGCCCTGTCAGCTTCCCCACATGCACCATGCCAGCATCTTTCACACTCGTGCATTCAGAAAGCAGTAGCACTTTGAGACTAGCCAAGGACCCAATGCCTTTCAACGCACTGTCTGGGACGTCTGTGTAAATGAGGATCAGCTTCTCCAGCAGCGGCAGCCTGTAGAGGTGCTTGATGCCCTCTGCACTGAAGCCTGAGCTGTACTCCAAGTTGATGCCCATCAGATGCGCCATTTCGGACACATGGGCGAGGATGTTGTCTGAGAGGCTGTTGAGAGCAATCATGCTTAGAAAAGTCCCACGTGATGCTAGCTTGATTCGCTGGAGGTGATGGATGAAGAGGAAATGGATGATAGTAAAATGAGTGACCATTGTGACAATACATAACACGCATACCCTATCTAACAGTGCAAGCTCTAACAAGCAAATCACCCAACACTCCCCCCCATGCAGTCTTTTGATGACCTTTCACTCTGGCTGATTTACGGCTCTATGTTTAGCCACTCCTTACAGGCTGTCAAACTTCTCAGCCATACCCAGTCCCATAACATCCTTGTGTTCAGCTGACCCCCCCTCCACTGCACTCTCTCCCCCTTGCCCGCTGCCACTTATCACTCACCTCCCATGCTTTCTTCTGGTCACCTTCATTCTGCCTGATTTCCACCTCAACCTTCCATTCCATCTCTGTCACTCGCCTCCTCTCAGCCTCCTCCAACTCCCTCCTTGTCTCTTCCAGCTGCACGCCAAGCGCCCTCATCCTCGTCTCCATCGCCTCTTTCAACTTGTGTGTTCCGGCCATCCTCCCTATGACAGACCCAACAGCCTCACAGGCATGCTTTCTACACACAGGCAGCACAATGAAGTGCCAACAGCAAGAATGGTAATGAGAGAGTGTGAGTTCAGAAAGAAAAGCTGGCACACTTACTACCTACCTACGCAAGGTACACGGGTCCACATGGCAGCATGGTTGAAGCAGCAAGAGAGTGACAAAGGAAATCAGGTAACAATGAGCACAGACACTTGAGGGGAGGTTGTTGTATGTACTAGGGGAGATTGAGGGCAGCTGCTGATTGTAACATGTAGGCACCAAATCAAGGTTCAAAAAAACGTCGTTTTTTTGAAAATTTACCGTAAAAAACGGCCGCAAAAAACGACGGTAAAAAACGGTTAAAAGGGTTCCAGACGGTGGTTTCGTTTGAAGAAAAATCGGCCGATTTTTGGGACCAAATTGATGGCGAAAGGTACCAGAATGAAGAGGACGAACCCCTCCTTGCATGCGTGCGCTTGTGGGCATGATTGAAAATGTATTCGACCTTGTTTTTCCCTTTTTTTGTTGGTGACAACACATCTCTAACAAAAAAACGCCGTTTTTTTGGAAAATTACCGTAAAAAACGGACCGTAAAAAACGGACCGTTTTTTACGAAAACCGTAATTTTGATCCTTGGCACCAAATACGGACTCAATTTCAACACTCGGGCATGCTCAACTCTGCTATATCCACGGTGGTATGTACACGAGAAATCGGCACAAGAACATGTTCATGCATGAGGCAGGAAGGTGAGATTCAACAATAATGAGGTGGGGAAGGCTCACATGGGGATGTGCAGCAGAGGGACGAAACCACGTTTCTGCAGCAATGGAAGAGAATGAGTGGTGAAGGAAGTGGAGGAGAATGAGAGTCAGTGGAGGGATGTTCAGCAGTACGACAAAAAGCAGGGAGGGAGAGTAGGGGAGGGAGGGCTTGAAGGCATGGGGGAGAGAGAGCCTGCTGCAAGGGTGGTGGAGATCAGATTGGCACAAAAACAAGCTGCAGCGTAAAGAAGGCAGAGCGTATCGCATACCATCAGCACATCCATCACAGCCAAGACCTGCTCATGCACCCATGCTCTGACTTGCGTGTGGGTCACGTCCATCCCCCACAGCAGCAGCACCAAAGTTGTAATGGCAGAATACAGCATGAGTAGAGGTAGCACAACCAGAGACTGCAATCAGGGGAGAGTACAGACAGGCATAAGTGCACGACGGATGAATAAGAACTGACGTGCAATAGTCTCTAAACTCAACAGATCGCTCAATGTTGATGGGCGGACTTATGACAGCTAGACACCCAATACGCACCAGGTTGTGGAGGGAATGAAGAGGCACGTTGAGGGCATGGGCATGCTGAAGGGACGTCGCAATCATTTGGACAAGAGCAGTAGGTAGGCGTGTGGCATTATGACACGTGGCAGCGGCATTGGCCTGAGAGGAAAATAAACAGAAAAAAGGAAAGAAAAAATAAGAAAGACTCCTGGAAGCTGAAGGAGGCAACAAGGAAGGGCATTATAGGTCCATAGTAAGAGACATTGCAGGGCAGCCTTGAAAGTGCAGCAAGTGGGTCTGGAAGATCCACATGTGATGCTGGTAGTGCTCACTCCCATCGGCTGTAACTGACGCACGATAGCAAGCATCCCTGCCAAGCGACATGATGCTCATGGCAGCGCCGAGAAGGAAAGCCACGAGCAGCCCCATGGCCACTGCAGTCATCCGAGCCATGGCTGATGGGGCGAGGCGTGCACCTCGCCTGCACGGTGAGGTGCGGCAGAGCAAATGGGGGGAGGAGGACAGTGGCAGGGGAAGGAGGGGATAAGCGGGCTGCACTGTGAGGTGCGGTGCGCAGGAGCAGAGGAGGGATGAGGGTGGCAGGAGCAGCGGAGGCAGGGGGGCAATGGTGGGAAAACAGGTTCTAGATGAGATGAACGGAGAACATGGGCAGGGGGGCACGGACGGGTAGAGTGACTGAGCGAGTTCACATGGAAAAACGGAATGGTAGCCAGATTGAAAGGCCAGAGCGAGGTGCGAGGCTTGGGAGAGGAATTCCAAAACGGAAGCCGGGGGAAGAAAATAGTGGCAGGAGAAGGGAGACAAGTTATGTAGCAGCAGCGCTTTACAGTGAGACGCGGAAGGAGCAGGGGAGAAGGGAGGCAGCGGAGCGGCCAATCCAGGAACGGGAGCCGAACAGCACAGAGGGCACGGAGGAGCAGAAGGGGAGGGATGATGGAAGCGAACATCGAAATGCGTAGCGTGGGTGGACTGGCACTGGAGAAACTAAAGCGGCAAGTGCAAACAGATGGAAGAGAAACGGGCAGGCCGAGTAGATGCAGTGAGAAAGCCAATACGTGCACGCATGATATCGCAGCCACAGCAAGAGAACGATGCAGAGGGGAGAGGTAAACATTCTGAAGATCACCCTAAGTCTAAGATTACTCCACAGGATACCCACGTCAAAGGAGACAGAAGATGGTACGCACCTCAGGGAAGGGGCAGCTGAGGAGGTGGAAGGAGGCACGGGGATGAGATGCAGGAGGAATGGGAGAGGGAAGAAGGAGACGATGAGATTGACAGCGGAAAAGAGGGTGGCATGGCAGGAAGGTTGCGGGCAGCAAGAATTTCTTCTTTGATGATTGAATCAATTGTCACAACAACTGGAAAAGGTGAAGAAATGAACAAAGGGAAGGGAGCTGGACTGGAATTGGGAAGTATCGATTACGAAAGGCAAGATTGACTGAAAGGCATGAGACAAACAGAACGCATGTAGAGGGAGCAGTTAAACCAACGAAGGGGTGGAAGGGGGGGAACAGAACAGGACACACAAAGGGTGAGGCAGGGAACGCAGAGGGAAGAGAGGCAGCGGTGGGGAAGCACTGAAGCAACAGCAAGCCGTGCCCACCTGGTGTGTGGAGGTGGCAGGTGAGCCACACGGCAGCAGCGAGGTGCCCGTTGAGAGCCGGGCGCTACTCAGCAGACAAAGGGACAAGTTTTTGTGGCCGGAGGCGAAAGGGCAAGAAAAGTCTGAACAACGAATGGTGGAGCAGCCAAACCGTAAATCACAATCTGGCGGCAGCATGAAGGAGCAAGAGGCATGGTGAGGGAGGAGACAACAAAAAGGAAGGTGGCATGGCAAGAATCTCGTCGGTTCAAAACTCTCAAGATATTCCTACGAAATGAGTTGCTGGCCAAAAGATTTAAATTGAAGCAAGTTTAATAACAGAAACAGCAGCAACAACCTGAAAAGGAGCAGACAGAATGAGTTGGACTGGACATGGAAACAAATTGTTATGAAACCGTAGAGGCTGGCTGCTGAATTGAAATGCACACAGATAATTACAAAGCATGCATTTGAAGAAAAAATAGACAGGTCGGGGTGGAAAAGGATGAGGGGACCACATGAAAGGTGAGGCTGGGAACGCAGAGGTGAAGAGGAGCAGCAGTGGGACAGCACTGACGCAACAAGACAGCCGAGCCCACCTGATGGAAACCAACAAGCAGTTGTGATTCGTGAGTAGAGCACCACTGAGAGAACAGCATGGGCGTGTACCTGGTGTGTGGAAGAGCAGCAGCGAGGTGTCAGTTACGAGCCATGCGCTTTTCAGGACACAGACTGACAGGCTCCGCAGGTGAGGGCGACAGGGCGCACTGGAAGATAGCAGATGGCAGCAGTGGGAAGCAGGCTAATCGCAGCAGACTGACAGATTGACACAGCCGCGCAGCCGAGGGAACGCGAGAACGACTCTGAGAAGAAACAACGCCACAAGCCGAACTGGGTCGAGAGCGAGAGCGAGGTGGTGGACGAGGAAGGACAGCGGAAGGATTCTACCTCATGCATGGCACGCTCGCGCTCACGCTATCCTTCCGCCCAGACGTGCATTCATCTCTCTCGCGCCGAGTCCAGCCCGTCGCATCCTATCGAAGAGAACCGCAGAGAACCTGCACTCCAACCCGCACGAGATGATCGCCGGCGTGACAACCCACGCGAGACCCATCGGCCCCTCTTCGTGAGTCCCCTGGTAACGCCATCATCCCTTCGCCCCACTCCGGCCATCGCCACTAACACTTCCAGCCGCGCATAGCGCCGTGCTGGGAGGATGCTCGCATGTGGAATTGTCGCACAGCACGCGAAAACTATCAGGCGTCGAAATCTAGGAACAGCCTTTCCGCAGCGTTCGATGAAATGGGAACGCATGATTTCTCGTGACACGTGGCAAAACTGACAGTGAACTTGCGAATATCTAGCTGGATCTATTGCTGTTTGTTTGGTACTACTTCTACCATTTGGAGTTCTGTTTGTACGAAAGGTAAGGATTTGCGAAATGAGAAGTTCCTCATCTTTGTATCGAATGAACCCTAACGAGAGAATTTGGAACACTGTTTCAGGTTACACGAGTTGGCGAAACTAGCAAGTCAGAATGAATTTCGCACATCCAGATCCAACCCCACCATCCCATGCCCTCACGCTTGTCCATTGCCCTCACGCTCTCCTGCCAGAGCATGGAAGTGTGACGACCAGAGCAAGCGCCATTGCTGCATGCGTGGAAGGAAGCGCGTTCTCCAGCCTCCTCGCTGAATGCACGCGGCGCCTCCCCTAGCCCGTCTCGAATCGCATCCCGTACATCATTTTGGTAGTCCTTGATCGCCGAATCCGTGATCTATACCGTCAGATTTGGTAGATCGACGTTCTCAGCCTGCCGCGACGTGATGTTCCCCGACGCAAGCACGCACCGGCGACATTCCCACCATCACATTGCTCCGCTGCGCAAAATCGGACGCCAAAGAATGTCGTTGAACATCCTGGCTTGGATTAACGCCATGTATGCGAAAATAGTGATGGCCGAGTCAGGTAGCGACTCGTTGTGGCGGCGCGAGCATGACGACATGCACAGCGGGATGAGAAAGGGGCGGAAGGGAGAGAGAGGGGCGTGTGCTAAGTGGCAATTCGGATTGGGTCAGCAAAGTGAAGCATCATGCCGTCGTTTGCGCAGCAATGCTGAGATCGCGTGCGACATGGAAAACGGTTTTCTACAGTGCGTGAAGGTTAGCGGGGGCAGAGAGGGGGGCGCCTGCTTCCGCCAAGTGGCGAGCAGGTGTATGGGTCACAAAGGAAGCAAATCATCATGCCGTCGTTTGCGCATCACTGCTGCGAACGCCAACCTCCATCAGGATTTTCCTCTGCGCGTGAAAAAGCGGCGAAGCGGAAGTGGGGCTTCCAGCTGATCCATTCCCGCCTCCTCCTCCGCTAGGGTTTCGCTCTCTTCTTGGCTCCTCATCCTTCTCCAACCCCAAACCCAGCTCCGACTTCGGCACTGCCATCGATCTCCTTGTCCCTTCATCATCCCTCCTGCCGTCATTACATTTTGATTGCTCCTCCTCTCCATTCCTGGCACCTCGCTACTGCCGCCTGCTACCTCTTGTCGCCTCGCTCCTCCATCACCCCCTCGCCCGTCCTTCTCCTTCCTCAAGATTTTCTCTCGCTCGGAAAAGCGGCTCGCTCACAGCTGGTAGCTCGCTGCTGCCACTCGGCACATTTCACCCACTCCGGCTACGACCTCTCCACTACTCTGCGCCCACCTCCCACCAGCCTGCTCTCATCGCCCATAGCAGTACCAGGTGCGTCAATCCTTTTCTCTGAATGCACTTCCTTTTTGGTGATCACATGCAGCTTGCTGCACGCGGATCCCACCCTTGCCTCTCGCCGCCTTGTGCCGCCACCCGTTTCTCTGTGGTACTGGCTTGCCCGCTCTCGACTCTCCCTTCACTTCGCCCTGCTGCCCTTTAGTGCACGCTCCACTTCAATCTTGATGGTTATGAAGCATGCCATATTGGCTTCTGGCATAGATTAGCTCTTCTTTTCTGCTTCATTCACGTCACAGTATCCCCACCCTGTTGTTTTTGCCCGTGCATCTATCCTCTTCAACTCCTGAAGTCAGACCTGATTGCCCTTTTTGGACCCTTGCTTCACTACTCCTTCTTCGCTCCTGCTGACTGTAGCATCCCGATCCTCTCTCCGTCCCTCGGCTCCTGCTCCTTCACTCTCTTTCTTCGTTCCTTTCTTCTGCCACTTACTTCCCTCCCTCCTCCTCCTCCCCCTGCGCCTTGCCCTCCACCGTCAACCTCCCCGTCTCCCTCCCCTTTCGCCCTCCCGCCCCGCCCCGCCCCTTCTTCCTCCTGCTCCTCATTCCGTTCTTCTCTTCAGTGCCTGCGGTGGAGCGTTTCGCTCTTAACTGGCACCTTGTTGCTGCCGCCTGCCACGTGCTGTCACATCGCCCTTACCTCGCCAGCGCCAGCCTCCAGCGATTCCCCATTCGGCGCCTCCAGTGAAGCTGCCTCGCTCGCACCACACCTGCACCTCCAGGTACGGTCTCTTCTCTGCTCCCACAACCTCAGTTTCCAAGTGCGCCCTTCTGCTCTCACCATACCATATGTGTCCTGTCCTGCTCTATATGTCCTTCTCCTTCCACTTAACAGAGTAGCAGACGCCTCTTGCGCCCTGCCTGACCTGAATTCATCCCCTGTTTGGTAATCACATTTGTCTTGCTGCTAGCCCAACTCACGTGTAATTTTATCCCCGCCACTCACGTCGCGCCACTCATTCCTGTGTGCGGCTGGATAGCAATGCCTACGTGCCCCATCTCTCCTCCTGTATAGATCATGCCGTCCTCCTCCCTCTCCTGCTCCTACTGCCTCCCTCCCTTACCTTGACACGCCTCACAGTGCAGGCGCACGCCTTGCATTGGGCTCGGCCCATCAGCCATGGCTCGGATGACTGCAGTGGCCATGCTGCTGCCAGGGCTGCTAGCTGGCCTCGTTCTCGGCGCTGCCATCAGCCTCAATAGCATCATGCCTCCTGGCAGGGATTTTTCATACCGTGCACCAGTTACAGCTGATGTGAGTGGTCACTACCACCATCATCACGCATTCACTTTCCAGGCACACTCCAACATTGTGTCACATGGTTTCCACATTGTTTTTTCCGTGCACTTTTTGAAGCTGCCTTGCCTTGTGCCTCAGCATGCAATGTGATCTCCTTCCTTGCGGCCTCTTGCAGCTTGCTCGTGGTTTCGAGAGACAGCATGTCAATCACTCTCCCATGCTGCCAACTCCTTCCCTCGCTCATGTAAGAACAAGCTCTGCCCTGGTCATATTGTTCTTGGTTGTTTTTGTTCCGTGGATGAAAGCAGGATATTATCCATGTGGCATGTGCGCGTGCGTGTGCGTGTGTGTGCATGCCTGTGCCGTTTCTGCTATTGTATGCATGTGTTGTCTGCTTCTCAGGCCAATGTTACTGTCTCTAGTCCCAACGCCACGTATGGACCTCCCACTCATGCCAACGCAATTGCGGCATCCAGTCAGCATGCCCACGCTCTCAACGTGCCGATTCACTCCTTCAACACCCTGGTGGGTGTATAGCATAATGAAAGTTTTACTATTGCCACCTTGGTACATTCCGTCATTTACGGATTAGTTTTCCATTTTTTATAACCTATCGCCCCTCCTTTCTTCTTGTCTCGTGTTGAAATGCTCCCAAACCCTGTCCTCCCACATCTGCAGCTTCCGGTTTTTATGCTGTATTTTGCCGTCACCACATTTGTGGTGCTGCTGTGGGGGATGGACGTCACCCACACGCAAGTCAGAGCATGGGTGTATCAGCAGGGTTCGGCTGTGGTAGCTGGGCTGATGAAAGTGAAGAGTGTAAGCATGTGCTGTGTCATGCCATGCATGCTCTCTGCCCTCCTCCACTGCAGCTCTGCTTACCTGCGAATTGTTTCTTTCCCCTCGCTTTTCAGGCACCTCACTCCTCCTTTCGCTCAGTCCTTCTTTTCTGCACTCCCATTCCCCATGCGGATGCTAATGTTTTCCCCGTCTCTCCTCTCCTCCCTCAACCACTCGCCCTGAAAATGTTCCTTCCTCGCCTTCGCCATGCTGCAGATACGTGAGATCTTCCCTCTGCTTCACAGCCCCATGTGAGCATGCCCCACCTCACCATCTTTGGCCTCACCATCTTCGTACCCACATCCTCTTGTCTTGTTCCTACTATCAGATTGTTTTTGTCAAATTTCAAGGCTTTTGTGATACGCATACGACTTCTACTCTCATCTTGTAATCCACTCACGCTCTCTGAGCTTTCCTTACCATGTATGTAACCCGTGCTGCCCTTATGTGCTGCCATTCGTGTGTCACTTTGCCATTCGTCTCCTTCCATGCGTTTCTTCAATGGATATGAATTGCTTCAGTCCTGGAATGGAGAAATTGGGTGAGGTGATTGGTTCTGCCTTGGCGAGCATAATTGGAACACACGAGTTGGAGATGAAAATGAGGGCGCTTGGCCTGCAGCTGGAAGACACACGGAGGGAGATGAGGGGGCAGGTGGAGGAGAGGAAGAGGGATGTAGAGAATGCTGAAAGAAGAATGGCGGAGATAAGGGAAATGAAAGGGCTGTTGGAGGAGAGGGCGAGGGGGTTGGAAGCAGAATTGGCTGCAGCGAAAGGAGAGCTGGATGAACAGAGGCAATCAACCACATTGCAGTTGGAGGAGGCTGAGAGAAGACGAGTGACGGAGATGAGAGGGAAGGTGGAGGAGTGGGAGAGGGGGTGGGCAGAAGTGAAGGTGGACCTTGCTGAACACAAGGGGCGCTATTGCAGAACAGCTGGATATGGCTGAGAGACAGAGAGAATCGGATTTGAGAGTTCTAAGGGAGGAGGCAAGAAAGGGAGAGGTTGAAATGAGAGCAAAGTTGGAAAGGGAGGGGGAGGAGAAAAAGAGGATGCTGGAGCTGGCGGCCTGTAGGAATCGGTTGAATGTTGACATGGAGATCAGCCTGAGTGCAGGCAACCGGAAGACAGCATGGGAGGTGAGCGTTCTGTGAACTGTTTGACAAGGCATGCATTGCGTGTTATTGTCATGTTAAGCATTCATTGCTTTGTCACCCATTCCCTCTCCACCCATTTCCTCCAGGCCATCAACTGAAGCCCGATTTGGAGCTGAAGAATCTCAACAGCGGCAATTCAGGTGCCATGCTCCCCTCCTGTTTTGCATCTGAAGAATCTTAACAGGCTCTTTCTTGTGCTCCTGCTTTTCATCTGTTTCCCTCCAGGGAATCAAGGCGGCAGTACAAGTTACTAGTCTGTCTCTGTGTAGTAACAGCGGCCTCTCAGACACCATGCTCGGCCATGTGTCCACCATGACGCACCTGACGAGCATTAACTTGCAATGTAGCTCTGGCTTCAGTGCAGAGGGCATCAAGCACCTGTACAGGCTGCCACAGTTGGAGACCCTAGACCTAAGGAGCACAGACGTCTCAGACGGTGCCCTAGAAGGCATCGGGTCCTTGACCCGTCTCAAGGACCTTCATCTCTGGACAACCAAGGTGACGGATGCTGGTCTGCCACACTTGACAGCTCTGCCCTCTCTCAAACTGCTTGTGCTTCTCAACTGCAAGGGCGTGACGAATGCTGGCACGGTGCATTTAGGGAGGCTGACTGGTCTTGACAAAGCTGACAGAATTCTGGCCGCCAGAAGGGGGTCGCCTTATGAACGATGATGCACGCAAACGTGTAGGCGGGTAGGGTGGCAGGGAGTGATGATGGAAAGGGAGTGTGGTGAGGGATGAGCTTATTGTGATTGTTTAGGAGACTGAGGAGAAGGTGTGGAGGCAAGGGGTGTGAAGGAGGGGAGGTATGCATGCGGGGGAGCGAGGCATGAAATGATGGTTGTGCACGGCTCAACTTGCATGCTGCAGAGCGTTGGAGAATGGTCAAGTGGAGCTCGTGCCTTGCAGTTGGACTGCAGCAGGCGCAGGGTTGGTTGGTTGGTTGGTTGGGCATGAGGGAGGCTGCATGATCCATCCATGCTCTGGGTGTAGGCTGTATAGATGTGAGGTGGGTATACGTTTGGTTGCATGTGGCTAGATGGCATTCGGGGCATTCTGTGAGCTGGGTGGGTGGCTGTTGTGAGACAGGAGGGTGAAGAGGAGTGGGCCTATGTGACACATGCCTGCTTCCCTTTGGGTGCAGGTGCAGGCTGTACATACCGGTAGCAGTTGGGCATGATGGTGTATGGATTTCTTTTAACAACACTGCTTTCAGCAAATGGCCTTTCTAAGATTCATACAATTTACTGTATCCTGTTCTATTGATAATACTTCAGCACCTCCACTTTACCAGTAATCCTTTTATGAACAATGAACATCTTCAGAGAAAGAGCAAATACATTGTGTTGGTATACAAGGATTCGTACCAGGGCCCTAGATATCAGACTTTGGAGTCTGATTCAGAGTCCGTTCAGACTTTTTTTTTGTAGCCTAGTCTGAACTCAAAGATTTTTTTTAGGGACCCTGTCTGATTTTCCAGAGTTTTTTTACCTGACTTGTCTGAAATTTCAGACTACTTTGAGTAGTGTACGCTGACCCTCAGACTTGTATCGGGGGTGCACTCTGAAACCGCTTATACAGGGGTTTGGGCCTGCCTGGCGGCGTGTAGGCTTATCCCCGTCAGTCACGGGCGGGAACCCAGAAATTTCGCCACCGCGGCACCGCACAGTCGCGTTGGTACAGAATTGCTGTGATCAACACCAATTCCAACCAATCGCGGCTGCGCACCAGGCAGTGTTGGCAAGATTCCTTGCCAAAACTTAGCTCGCAGCGCGGTGCACCAACGTTTGACACCACGACCACCCACCACACCTCCCCTTCATTGTTGCCAGCGCATAGCTCGCAGGGCGCTGCCACTCTCACTTCACCACATACATCCACCCCACCCCACCTTCCACGTTGCCTACGCATAGCTCGCACCGCGCTGCTACTCTCACGTGACCACATCCATCCACCCCATTCACCCCACCTTCCCACCATTCACGCCCAGGTGCCGTGCATGCAGTGACCACCTGGGGGTTGAGAGGTCCTTATGACCTCTCATCTTCCTCTTCGTCACCGTGCTTGCCAGGCTCTCTCACGTCTTTCCGTTTGCCTGGCCTGAAACTAGTGTAGGAGCCCTTGTTTCAGCCTCCCTTTTCCGAGCTCGCTACACCACTGCTCGGCAGGCTCAATGGCTGCCTCAGAAGCTGTCGATGATGGGCCCGACGAGGAGGATGATGCTGATGTTCGCCCAGCTTCGGACCCACTCACCGGTCTAGACTTCCTTAGGTCTCTCCTACCGAAACATAATCCACAGCAACCTAAACCGTCGCAACCCAGCTCTATTCGCCCATCGATTCCCGCTGCCTCTGCTGCTCTGCACGAGGCCGTCGCTGCACCACCGACAAACCTGCGGTTCCGTCAGTCCACCATTGCGTGGGCAACACCACCTCCTCCATCGACCACTGAGACTCCTGCCAGTGATGCATCTCTCATGCAGGACAACTCGAAGCCCACGCAGGCTAGCTCAAAGCCCAAGGCCGACACGCCTGAGTTGAAATACGAAGATGCGCATGCGCGGTACAAATCCAAGTGGTCCACCGATTTCAGTTGGCTTGTCCTAACTCAAACCTCCACTGGTGCTCCTTCTTTCAAGTGCAGTATTTGCTTGGAATTTTCAGGACTGAATGGCAAGTGTGGGCGGCGTACCGAGGGAGCAACCGACGTGCATACACAGTCCTTCAAGAAGCACGAAGGGACGGTGAAGCACCGGTTTGCTCTGCAGCGCCAGGAGGACTTGCTCCAGAAATACGGGCGCCAGCAGCGCATCGACATGCACCCGAAGGCGCAGGACTTGGAGATGCTGCAGGTGTCTTCGCTCGTGGACTCGCTGTACTTCATGGGAAAGTCCAACGAGCCCATGGACTCGTGGATCCGGTTGGTGCGCTACCTGGCGAAGAAGAAAGTGCCCGGGTTTCCCGCGGAGGGCTACGGCACGTACTACAACACGTAAGTAGTGTCTGTAGCATGCCTGTTGGTTTGTTTCTGTTTGACTGTCACTAACGACTACGTTTTCTTTGTGTAGGTACGGATTTGGAGAACTCACCCAAGCAATTGCGACGTGGCTCCAAACAACGCAACTTGAGCACCTTCTGACGAGCCCATTCATCGGGATTACACTGGACGAGAGCACCGACCGTCGCCGCGGCAAACACATGATTGTGTTTGCCACCTTTCTCCGCGAGGGACAGGTTGTCACGGAGTTTATCGCCCACTTGACTGTTGAGAAGGCTGACGCTGCTTCTTTGTGCAGTTTGTTGGTTTCCCACCTCAGGGCTGTCGGCGTTGACCTGCGGCGTATCTCGGGAATGAGCACTGATGGCGCGTCTGTGATGGTGGGGAGTCAAAACGGTGTGGTTGCTCGCCTGCGAATGCTCATCCCCAATCTGGTCTCGTTTCACTGCATCGCGCACAGGTGCGTTTGTGTTTTAATGTGTCACACTCTGTATTGTTTAACCCTTTGTTTGTTTTAACAATCACTAACCCATTTGTGTGTTTCTGTTTGGCAGGGAGGCGTTGGCTGCCAAGGCCGCGGCGGAGCAGATACCAACGTTCAACATGGTGGACGATGTCATCCGCGCCGTCGCAGAGTACCTCGGGCGATCGTCACCGTGGCATCAGCGCTTCATGGAGCTGCAGGAGGTGTTCACCTCCACCAACCTCGAGGTCCAAGGCATACATGACGTGTGGTGGCTTTCACGAGGAGCTGCAGTCACCCGGTTCGTCCACGTCCTTCCAGCGATCATGGTGATGCTGTCGGAGTGGAAGGACAAGACCATGTACGAAATCGTCACGTCGTACAGGTTCCAGTTCCTCATCAGGTTCCTCGCGGACCTACTGGAGCAGCTCAACGTGCTCTCCTCCGTTTTCCAGAAGCGGGAGGTAAGTTCCCTACTACGTGTTTCATGTTTTGGTTGTCGTCCGCTTTGTACTATTTTTTTTTGAATGGGTTTGTTGCAGCTCGACTACGCGCAGGTGCACACGCAGATTGTGCGCACGACATCGATCTTGGAGAGCCGTTACGTCGACTGTGGTGACGACTTCGGGGGAGGGCCAACCGAGAGGCTGTACCGCTTCATCGAGAAGCACGGACTGCGTGGTTCACCAGAAATGGTGATCGAGGGAGCTTCGTCCGATGGCAGTCTCAACCGCTTCAAGGTGACGCTTCACGAGCGCACCAACCCGAACTATCGTGGGCCCGGCCACCACGACGCGTGCGTGGCGCTCTGCACCGACATGGCCGAGCATGTCGTCGAGAACCTCCAGTCCAAGCTTGGCGACCTTGAGTCTCTTTCTGGAGTGAGGCTGTTTATCCCTGACTTGTGGCAGCCGCAATGGGACCGGGACGCGCGGCAGGCACAGTGCCTGGAGTGGCTCTTGTCGCTTGTCACGTTGTTCCGCGCAGATGAAGCCGACGAGATCCTACCAGGTTAGCTTGAAGTGCCACCCGGTTCCCCCTCTCTCACGGCTTTTATACTAACCGTTGCCTCTTATACCTTGCAGGCATTGACAAGAAGAAGGCCATGAGGGAGCTTCGCACGCTGTGTCCAGTTCTTGCCAGAGCGCCGAAGAGTGAGCGTAAGTTCCACACGGGACTTACCGCCATTCTCAGGACACCCGATTGGCAGCAGGCGTACCCCAACCTCGTCGGACTCTGGGTGGCGATTGCAGTGCTGCCTCTCAGCACGGTCGAGTGTGAGCGAGGCTTTTCCCGACAGAACCTGATCAAGACGTGGCAGAGGGGCAGCATCAAGGATTGTAGGCTGAGCGATCTGCTTTGCATCTCACTGCTAGACTATGAGTTAGACGTCCCAGGCGTAGTCGAGATTTGGCGCGCTTACAAGAAGCGCCGGCCGTTCACAGCACCTGCATCAAGGCACAGGGAGGAGCCCCCAAGGGCTGGGAAGGAGCATGTAGATGAGGCAGTAGTGGAATGTGATCTTGTAGATTCTATGACAGACTAATGCAGACATGTAACAATTGCTAGTTGGTGGTGTTCTCAAACAAGAGTAAAATTCGAGTGCTAGTCTGTAACATCAGCGTTGAAAAGTTTGTGGAGTCTGAACTTTCAGACTTTAAAATTTGGTCAACTCTGACAGCCAGACTAGGAAGAGGGGTGTACTCTGAGGCCTCAGACTAGCTCAAAACGAATCTAGGGGCCTGATGCGTACCACTTATTCAAGGTAGACATTATTATCAGCGACTTAATGTGTAACAGTCAGAGCATTCTGTTGGTTGGCGTCGGGGACAGGTGACGCAGAAAAAGAGGGGCATAGCAGATGAGATGAGATGCATGCTGCTGTGACGCTGAGTTCCGTGAAGTAATCTATATCCCCTCACATCTGCCCCTCCTCAATGCTTCTCACACCTTCTCCCTCGGAAGCACGTCCTGTGAATAAGAAAAGTGAGGACCCAAATTTCTGGAGTTTAGAGGAATCATTTTGAGTTGCGTGCAGGGGATCAGGGGGAACCAAAATAAAAGAGGCAGCCGTTTTGAAGCAAATTGGCTCATTGTGATGAGCTGTGTGGTGGCAGACATTGATATGCGAGTAGTGCGTCGTAGTGCAACAATGCATTGCATTGGTGCAGTGCAGGGCACACGGAGATGATTGCAGGGGAGATGCAATCCTGCACACGGCAGTGTGAGAGGGAAGAGAGAAAAGATTAGGCAGGAGAGGAGAGCTGGCATGGGTGAAGGCCGGGAATGAGTGGAAGGCAGGCATGAGAGAATGGTAAGGGAGAGACAAGCAATGAGATCCGTCCTTGAAGTAAGGCATGGGATGAGGTGTGCTTGCACAGCTGTCACAACACTCTCCCGCTAAAAAGCCGACAAGTCAGCTCATGTGGCGTGGCTGACATGAAAAGCATCCCCTCCATAAGCTGTAAAACTTCCAAGTTGGAGTGGTAGCTATCCCACTCCAGCCACTCCTGTCGCCACCAGCTTCAACTCCCCCCATGCCATGCCATGATGGCAAGGCGCCTGAGAGAGCACCTGGGGACAAGTATGGCAAGGGCAGGGGACGAGAAGGTGGGGTCGCGGGGGGGGAGAGGGGGGGAGGGGGGGGGGAGGGTGGGGGGGTAAGAGTAAAGATGCTTGAAAGGTGTGATTGTAATTAATACTGCGCTTCTGCTGCCACCATCAGCCACCTCGTAAGAGAGGGGCTTCGGTGGGCCGGGGGGGGGATAGTTAAGAGACAGTAGACAGATGTATAAATACACAGCACAGGAGGGAGGGTGGGGCGCGGAGGGGGGAATAGGGTGATTGCACGTCTTGCGGTTGTGGTGTAGGTGATATGGGAAGGAGGGAGAGTTGGTGCCTGAAGGTGCAATGGAACCAATGCTGGAGCTTGGCTGGGATGGTGGGGGAGCAGATGGGAGGGTGATGGCGGGTTGAGGAGGGTAACCTGAATGGCGAGGGACTCTTAACTTCATGGGGTGATGTAAGAAGGGGCATGACATGATGGGATGAAGGGTATGGTACAATGGGATCCATGGGGTGAGGGGTTTGGGTATAATGGATATAGGGAATAAGGGAGGGAGGGAGGAGGGAGAAAAGGGAGATGACAGGGAGCGGGCGGAAGAAGGGGCCGCAGAAGGAAATGAAAGGGAAGTGGGGGGGGAGAAAAGGGAGGATGAAAGGAAGGGTACATATGTGAGGTGGGAAGGAGGGGGAGATGGAATGTGGGAGGAAGGGGAAAGCAGGGAAACGGGGAGGCGGGGTCTTTCGTGCGATGTCACCTGTAGGGTGAGGAGAGGGGTGTTGGAAGAGGAAAGGCGAGTTTATGTGACGCAAGTCATGTCACACCACACGACTGACTGGGTGGTGCATGCAGGATGTGGGGCTGGACGGGGCATGGGATGACTACGAGACGAAGGGCATGACACAACGTGATGCATGGGGAGGTGGTGGATTTCGGTTATAATTCGCCAGCATGTACCAATACAGTAGTATTGAAGCCAAGTGCGCATGTACATCGTTTTGCAATTCTTCGGACGATTGCAGCATAAGGATTCCGATGAAATCACGTTGCTATCTCGGACCAATGTATTCGTCACTCTCTCCCTCCCTCCCATGGCATGAAATACTTCACCACTTCGACTGCCACTGCAGCTGTGCCATGCTGTTCAGCAGCGCGTTTTAGAGATCAATTGGCTGGATCTCACAACTAGTCCAAGGCAGGACACTGCTGGTGCGGGCAGGGAAAGTTCAGAGGGGCATGTTATGCTAGTTAGAGAGGAAAGCAACAGGCGATGATGGCATTGCACACCCGCAAACTAGCAGTGTGGCGATGAGATGCAGCGCTGGAATGAGACGTGCGGAGAAGCAGTGCTCAGGTTCATTCTGCCTCGTCACCAAATATGGTGCCGAAACACAATACTGGGCACGGGGACGATGTGAGATAAACGTGAACAGTAGTAATGGATGGAAGAAGAGGGACATGATGAATTAATCAGATGCCTTTCACCTTCTCTCATCTCCACATTGTGCACGTGACCCCGCTTGTCATCAACTGAAAAGCCATCCACAATCTCATATCCATGGCCCCTGCTGCCTCAAACTGCCATCCCTCCTCCCATGGGTCAGCCAGCCTCCCATGGGTCAGCCAGCCTCCCATACCTCCCTCCTCCCCACCTCCACCATACTCGTGGCTTGCCGCCTTCACCGCCGCCACTGCTACTGCATCCCATGGCTCTGCCATGCTGCCCGGCTGGTGTGCCACATAGGTGAGATGGGCTGCTCATGAGAGTTCAGGCAGGCAAGTCACCGAATCACTTCACAGCCAACAATGCTACTGCTACTGCCGCCCTGCCTGTCATCAACTGAAAAGCCATCCACTACCCATATCCATGGCCCCTGCCGCCTCAAACTGCCCTCCCTCTCATAAGGCAGGCCTCCCTCCCTACGGGTCAGCCTCCCATTCCTCCCTCCTGCCGGCCTCCACGCCACTCGTTGCCGTCGAGCTTCGCTGCGGCATCCAGTGAACCTGCCATGCTGCCCGGCTGGCTGTGTGTGCCGCGGAGATGAGCTGGGCTGCTCATGCAAGTACATGCAGGCAGGTGACCAGCTTCACTTCACCGCCGCCACTGCTGCTGTTGTGTCCCATGGCTCTGCCATGCTGCCCTGCCGTGTGTCATGGAGATGAGTCGGGCTCCCTCCTCGCCTTCCTCCACCCCACTCCCCACTGACCGCCTTCACCACCACCACTGCAGCCGTTGCAGCAGTCTGCCAGCCGCCCCATGTCGCCCGGCTTTGTGTCGCAGCCCCGAGCTGGGCTCCTATCGGCCGATACACGGCAAATGCTGTTGGTGTGCTGGGGAATGCTATAAAGGGATGAGAGTAAGAAGGGGCGTACTGCTGGAGGAGGGTGGAGTGGAAGGTAGCTGATGACGGCATTGTACACGGGAGAGAAGTGCTCACAATCATCCCTGCTGCCAGAATCACCATACTGGGCACGGATAGGCAAAAGGCACCAAGGAGGGAGGGAGGAGTCACATGACAAGAAAAAAAAAATCCATGGGAGGTGCAAAGCAGTGCTTACATTCATTTTCGCGGTATAGTGACAGATCTCCGCTCCGCCCCATCAATGTTAATCTATAGGGACACCATAATTAATTTGTTACAAAGCACTAGTTCATCTGTCACAAGGCTTAAGCACACTTACCATGCACACCACGTCGCACTTCTCGCCTTTGCACACACGCAACATTTGTGACTTGTTTACTCACCAGAAAGCACACACATGCCTTGATCTGCCTCCCACGCCTCCCTCCTGCCCACCTCCACGCCATCCGCTGCTGACCGGCACCACTGCTGCTGCTTCTGGTGCTACTCGTGGCTCTGCCATGCTTTACTCCTGTATGTCGCGGAGATGATTTAGATCCTTACAACTGGTAAAGGGCAGGTGCTGTTGGTGTGAGAAGGGTAAGGGAGCGGGAGGAAGTGGGAAGAGGGCAAAGGAGGTAGGAACGTACTGCTGAGCGAGGAGGAGGACCTGGATTCTGGAAGATAGCCTGGTGATGACAGTGCAACAAACTGGGCGCGGATGGGCGAAGGCGCAACAGAAGGGAGTCGTGAGCACCAGAAATACACGGAAGAAAGAACAAGGGATTACGCCTTCTCTCACCTCCTCTCACCTCCATGTTGGCATGTCACTCTACCAGTCAGGCGAGAAGCCATCCGCACTCATGGCATGTGCTTGCTTGCCTCTCGTGTGAATGAGAGCCTAAAATCCTCCACACGTGGCCAGCATGCAATGGGCAGTGAGCAGCTAATGCCTACTTACACAGCCGCTGCTACTACCTCACTCTTCACCGCCAAGCCTCCCTCGTCGCCTGTGTGCTCCCACTTCTCGAACGAATGTACTCTCGTGGCTCCGCCATGCTTTCAGGCCGTGCGTTGCAGTGACGAGTTGAGCACCACACAACTACTCCTTGTAAGGAGCTGTTGGCGCGGAAAAGGGAGGCAAATTGTCGAAAGAGCGTAAAAGGAAGGAGCGTGGTTCACGCTAGGATGGGAGGAAGGGGGAGGAGGAGGGGGACAATAGCTGATGGTAATGCACACAAGAAAGTAGCGTTCAGATTCAACCTGCTTTGGCAGCACACTGGCACCAGAATGCTCATCTGGGCGCGGATAGGAGATGGCGCAGGAGGGACAGAGAGCGACGATCACAATTCATTCGCCATCGTGACGAAGGTGCTTTCCATCCCACTCGACTTTGCTCACCTCCATGTTGGCACCACTGTCACCCTGCTGCTGTCCAATGGAAAGCCGTCTCCAGAGCCCGTCAGCTGAGAAGGCGCCCACATGAATTCCACCTGCTTCCACGATGCAGTGCCGCGTCTGCCCAATGGGGCCGCGACATCCACCCCACGGGCTCCCTGGAATCGCAGTGGCGCATGAAAACAGTGCGAGGAGAACATGGGTTCACTATCACATCATGCTCCTTGCCAACTCCAGTGGGGGATTTTTGCAGTGCAGGACGTGGGCCTGGTTCAAGCGATGATTGCTAACAGCAGCCTCGTTCTTCTATGCTGGCTGATTGTCGGCCAGAATGGAAAGGTGTGGACAACCGGAATGGGGAACGGGAGGGAAGGGGAATGGACAACGGGAGGGACCAAAAGTTGAATGGGAGGAGAAGGGGGGGGGAGAGGGAGATGGAATATGGGGACGGGGAGGATAAGAGGGGCAGAGGAAGGTGGGGGAAGGGGGAGAAGGGGAGGTAGGACCCGGCTCTTTTCCCTTTTCTTGTGAGGATTCACGAGCAAGCATAATTTCTTCCTTTGTAAGGCCAAAAGCCTTGCGTGACCAGCATGCACCGAATGAACAGCAGCAGCGGCAGTGCTGTTGGTGTGGGAAGGGGAAGGGAAAGGGCGAAAGAGCGCCAAAGAGGTTGCGATCACCCTGCCGCCGTCAGCTGAGAGAGACGCCTTGCACATCCCCCAGCAGTACTGCCAGTGGCAGACCACAGCGCAGCAATGCCTTCACCCGCGGCGAATGCGGGAGTGAAAGGCACCCTTGGATTGGATCCGTGCTGCCTGCGCGAGGACACACGGGGGGCTAGGGAGGCGGGGCGGCGGTGTACGAGAGCTGATGGCGTTGCGCAAGGGGAAACAGCGCTCAACTTCCGCATCGTCAGAAAACCACCGCCAGAAATAGGGCGCGGATAGGCGGAGGTGCAAGGGAGGAAGCACACCCAGCAGGCAGCAATGGATGGGAGACGAGAGATGGGATTGAGAGAAGCATGCTGCGGTCGTCAAAGCTGCCTGCGACTGCCTGTTGATTGATCCAGATTCCTCACCATTGCGGTGGGTCAGGACGTCGGTGCCGTCTCATCCCACTCGTCTCCTCTCGTCGCACATTGCCGCCACCATCGCCCTGCTGCATTTCGATAACGAGCCGCCGTCCGCGCAAAGGATGGGACGCCATCAGCTGAGAAGGCGCCGCCCAGCCTGAAGTACAACGGGCTTAAAAAGCTTGTAGTAATAGGGGAGCGACGGGGCAGACGAGAGCACGCACAAGGGAGCATTAGCCTCACCCTTTGCCGTCCCGCTTTCCCAGCTGCCTCCTTTCCCAATCGCCGCGTTCCGTGCTGTGCGATTTGCACCCGAGCAGCAACAGCAGCGCATACAGGATGCTACGCCCCACCGCTTGCTGCGGACTGCCACGTGAAGCACCGTGGACACGTGGACTTGAGCACGTAGTAATCCATTTGCGAATCGCATTGAGATCCCATCAGCACGCTAGCGCGGAGAGGCTTAGGGTTAGCTAGAAGTTCCCCGCTCAGACCTTCACCCTTAGTTTCACTGGCAACTCGACCAATCGCGATGACATGTTCCGAATCGCCACTAGGGCAAACGCATCAACGCATCGAGTCGATCGTGAGAAAACGACGCTTCAATGGTGCTGCGACACGTAATACCGGGACCTTGTCGACCTCGAGTCTCTCCGTCGGCCTTCAGCTCGCCTCACCCGTCGATCGCCTGCATCCCGATCTCGCACGGCGCATGGCTAATGACTAAATGGCACCTTCTGGTAGCACATGACGGCATCAACGTTCACATCAAAGGCGCGTTTGCGGGAGTATTTCGAATTTGGTCGAAACGCGCTCGACCATCTGACATGAAGCTTGATTTCTCACTACACGTGCGTGGCGACACTGATGCTATCAAACGTGGAAGGCGACGACCGTGCTTGCTGGCGCACATCTATCTGTTGGCGAACAGGGCCTAGCGACTGTATGTTCAGCTTTACTTACGACTTGGAATTCGGGAATAATTATGGAGACGAAATGGGGAGAAGGCATTGGGAATTGAGCAGGGGGGGTTCCAAATCACACCCGTCCGGAGACTGCAATGCGTTTCACAACTCCATCGTGGCAGTCGCAGTTACCACTCGTCTCGTCAAAGAAAGTTCGCGTTTCAAAAACATCTAGACAAACGAATTTTCCAGAGCAGATGGTTACTGCCCTGATATACGCCCAGCATTTTCGTTCACTCGACGTTGAACGAGGCGAGTCCGGTTACCCAGAATGATCCCAACGAGCGATACTGGGAATGGTGGCTGAACACTGTTGTGCACATCACCACCATCCCCTCACAGAAGCACTAAGTTCGTGTATCACCGTTCAAACTGGTGAATAGCGGTTTAAAGTAGAGTAAGAAAACCGCTCTAGAATCCACAGCAACGTTTTCCACCGCTTACACTGAACGGAAAGTGAACCTAGTCAGACCCGCCCTAGCGGGTACCACTCATTGGGCTAGTACTCGACGATCCTCGTGATAACTTGCTCGTTTGGCCGTCGCTTCTATAACCTTTCAGAGTCAAGCCATTTTCTGGAGTGAGACAACAACTGCGCTTATTAGAACGTTGCGTGCCCAGCGCCTGTTGCGGAGCTCAGATCTAAGTGTGTGCGCGAGTCTATCAGCACGTCGCTTTTGTCTCCGAAACCCTAAAAACAGGCCTGAGGTAAGGCCGGTCCCGTCAGTCCTTTTATTTCGGCTCGCGCACATCCCTACCCAAAATATATCATTCTCCTCCTTTCTCTGATGCCTTTAAGGCGTTTGGTGCTCCTCCTACCCTCTGATCCTCTTATCCTCGTACCTTCGCCTCCCCGCCGTCTCCATGGCACGTCTCTAAGACTTAGCGCGCAAAAGAGAGTGCAGCAAATAAAAGTTGAGTAGTCCTGCATGAAGGCTCCACGCCTCCATGCTCTTATTCGGGCAAACTAGTTCCATTCGGGTATACGGTACAATCAGCTTGTGTTGCCAAGTCCCAGTGACTGTGTGGCCTCGCATTGCTGCAAGTCCCGCGATCACACATCCCTGCTATTTCTATGTCTTCCTTTAAATCCCCGCCTTGAAATCCGTGCGGATCGGCAATTTAGCCCACCAATTTCCGCGGATTGGCTATGTTGACCGTCGAGTGGTGTAGTTCGGAACACTCCGACCGTCGATCCGTGCGGATCGGCGATAGCATTCCGACAATTCGCGCGGATTGTCGTTTTTTACTGCCGATCTGCGCGTATGAGTGATGTAAGGCTTGCCTTTTTGAAGTAACAAGATGTAGCAAGTATAACTCTTGCCCAGTCCCACTCGTCTCCCTGCCCTTCCCTCGCACCACTTTCAGAATCGCCAATCGTCAGCCATCACGCACCACGCACTGCAGATAGACCGACTCTCCCTGCCGCTGCTGGATCACTCTGAGAGCCGCCGCAAGAACGCGGCAGTTAAAGAAGCCTGAAATAACGGTAAGCATTATGATTCCGTAGTTTATAGATGAGAATCCCTATCGTCTCCTGGTCTTAGCCTTCCACATTGCAAGGCTCCCGGGCACAAGCTTTGGTGCTTACCGAAGCGCCTTCTCCCTACGGGGGGTTGGTTTCCTCCGGGGATCTCCTTAAAGCCCAAAAAAAAAAAAAAAAAAAAAAGCTTTGGTGCTCGTTGTACATCATCATGTATCATCATACCGAGTGGCCTTAAATACTCAGCACAATGCCAAGGCACAGTGTTTCCTCTTGATGCATTGTCGGCCTGCGCCCTTTTCGTGCTGCTTTATTTTCCTTGGCTTCGTCACCTTGCTTCCACTGACCTAGGCTCTTGCTGGTCTAGGGTTGCCTAACCTAGTACGTGATGACCTAGCATGCGACTGACCTAGCATGCGACTGACCTAGCATGCGACTGACCTAGCATGCGACTGACCTAGCATGCGACTGACCTAGCATGCGACTGACCTAGCATGCGACTGACCTAGCCTGCGACTGACCTAGCATGCGACTGACCTAGCATGCGACTGACCTAGCCTGCGACTGACCTAGCCTGTGAGTGGCCTATCCTGCGACTGACCTAGCCTGAGAGGGTTCTTCGTTTGACTTCTTTCTCTCACCCTATGGTTGTTTTTTTCCAAAACCACTGTATCTTACCACCATTGTATCTGGGTCCTTGACTGCTCTGCCCGTTCAGCCCACTTCATCTGACTGATGCTACACCACCCACATACCAGCCCCCTCTGTACCAGTTCCCTCTGTACCAGTTCCCACCTGGTCATTTGTCTCCCTTGTCCGTCTTCTCTTCTCTGATTACTCTCGCATTTCGTTTGCTGTTGTCCCTCTATTTTACTCTTTAAGAAAATCTCTACCTGTCTCTGCTTTCTCCTCCTACTATGTTTGGTTGGCCTGCATGCATGCCTCGCTACCCTACACTGACAAACATGCAATTCCCAACGCATGACCCTTCACCGACTGCATTTGTTTCTGCCTTGCTGCAATATCTGCAGTGTCCCTCTTCAACGGTCCTATTTCCATCCTTGTCATCAAGTCTCCCTCTTCCTTGGTTCCTTATGTGCTCGCTTTCTCCCATCACTGCCTCATCCCTCATGCCTGTGTAATCGGTCTCAGTCGTGTGTGCACTGACCACGCCCCTTCTCCCTCTTTTCGTTTTGCGTTTCTCTTTTCTCTCACGACGCGCAACCCTGCCCTACCAGGGCTGCACGTGTCTGCTTTTGCAGATTTGCAGTCAGAAAGTCAGTTGAACGTAAGGACCAGGCGGTCATAGAAGGAGGGTCGTTTGAGGAGAGTGAGTGCATGAGATGGCTGCTGAGGGAGTGACGAGTGCAGCGATGAAAGAGGCGGTGCTGGCAGCAGTCAAAGAGGAGCTGGCTGCACACAAGGAGGAGGTGGATGAGCTGCGGCGCACATTGACAGCAGTGCAGGGGGAGTTGGTAGCGGTTAAGGGGAAGTTGGAAGCAGTTGAATGCGAGTTGGCAGTGGTTAAAGTGGAATTGGCGGAACACAAGGGCGCTATGGCAGAGAAGTTGGCTGAGGGTAGTAAGGCATCGAATGCAGAAGGGCTGAGAGGGAAGAGTCGGAAGAGAAGGCAAGAAACCACAACGGAGTTTGCACGGGAGGAGGAGAGGGGGAGGGAGATGCAGGAGTTGAACCAGCCGCGTGCCATGGAGGAACCGGCGGGCTGTGAGGTAGGGCAGATGATGCAAGATTTGAAGCTGGATGTTGAGCTGCAAATCAAGGAGAGTGTTGATCGGAAGGTGGAATGGCAGGTGAGTGTTGAGTGAAATGTAGCACAGTGCATGCTTGGTTGGACTTGGCATGGTTGGACAGGGCATGCATGGTTGACGACAGGGCATGCATAATTGACAGGACATGCATGTTCGACAGGGCATGCCTGGTTGACACTGACAGGGCATGCCTGGTTGACACTGACAGGGCATGCATGGATTTCTAATTCGGTTGTCCTTTGCTTGTCATTCCTTCCTTGTTCATGACCTCCAGGAAATCAAGGAAGCATCACAATCGCTCATTCTAAATCTGATGGAACTCAGCGGCCTCTCCGACGCCATGCTCGCCCATGTGTCCACCATGACTCACTTGACGAGCATTTACTTGTCCTCTAGCTCAGGCTTCAGTGCAGAGGGCATCAAGCACCTTTACAGGCTGCCACAGCTGGAGGAGCTAAACCTGGATCGCACAGACGTGTCAAACAGTTCCTTGGTAGGCATTGGGTCCTTGACCCGTCTCAAGGCTCTCTGTCTCAATCGGACCAATGTGACTGATGCTGGCCTGCTGCACTTGACAGCACTGACCTCCCTCGCAATCCTGCAGCTTTCTTGGTGCAAGGGCGTGATGGATGCTGGCATGGTGCATGTGGGGAGGCTGACAGCGCTTGAGAGACTTATGGTGTGTGGGACAGCAATTACAGATGCTAGCCTTCTGCACCTGGCAGGTTTCGCCTCTCTCAGAGAGCTGGACCTTTTTAAGTGCAAGGGTGTAACAAGCGCTGGAATGCTGGGTGTGGGGAGGCTGGCAACGCTTGAGGTACTTGTTTTGGATAAGACGGCTGTCACCGACGGCGGTCTGCTGCCCTTGACAGGCCTCTCCTCTCTCAGAAGGCTGGAACTTTCATACTGCGAGGGTGTGACGAATGCCGGCATGGTGCATGTGGGGAGGCTGACAGCAGGGCCCTCGTTATCAGACCAATTTGGTCTGATGGTCTGCGTTTCAGACTTCATTTTCTTATTTCAGATGATCTGTAAGACTGTGATTTTATTTTCAGATGATCAGTAAGACAAATGATTTTACTTGAGATAAATTTTCAGATCGCATACTATTCTTCATCTGAGAATCCAGATAACGAGTACGATTCCGTCTGAAACCGACATTTGTGCCCACTTGTCCATAGGGCCACTAGTTAGGGTATCTGCCAGCATCTATACATGCATGCGTAATGAATGCTTCTGTCCCGTAGCATCCGCGCTGGAGGAAACAGCACCGCTGGCAGCAGTTAACCATGTCAGATGCTGCCAGCACTTTGTCGCTGCGTGGGTGTCGGCGCCGATGCCAGCTACACCCAGGCACCGGCACTATCCTTTTGTGCGATGGGGTGACCTGTATGCATCGCGGATGCACGTAACTGTGGTTCCCCGCCCACACTCGCACCGCGTATCACTCTGCCGAGCTACGGGACGAGGGTTTGAGGGACCAGGCTGGGGGCACACCGTCCATCTTCTACATCCTTTTCTTCCGCTGCACTCGACTGGCCCCGCAGTGCAGTTTTCCACTTTCGCCATACCCCCTGATGGCCATTCCAGAGGAGTTACACCCCCCTAGAGTCTCAGCGCTAGATTTTCTCACACGGGGCAAGTCGATCCCCGTCGTTGCACCCCACGTTGCCTCGTGCTCAACCCAAGTTATACCCCCAACCAACGCATCGCCAGACACTGTGGCCGAAGAAAAGGCGGACGATGGCATGCCCAAGGCTACCACGCCCACGTCGACAAGCTCGCCTACATCCGGCCGTGAATCCATCCGCCCTGTTGTTTCTGTTGCAACAACCACCGATCTTCGGGCTAACCCTGTGCTGCCTGACAGGGCTTCACTGAAAGCTAAATACAAGCAGAGGATGCTTAACTTTGCCCGTCCCGCAGGTCCTACCTTGCCCGCGCCATCGGAGACGGTCCCGCCCACGACTCGTCAATCCGCCGATGACGATTCGGAAGAAGAGGACAAGGGCAAAACCAAGGGACGTCGGCCGCTCTCTGTGGAAGAGCTGCAGCTCAAGTGTAAGGAGCAGTGGCTTCGCTATTTCCCGTGGCTCTTCATCAGTGAGACGAAGGACGGGCGACCGTGCATGCGCTGCAGCGTCTGTATGGTGTTCGGGGACCCGCACTACAAGTACGGCCGCTACGGTGAAGGCGGCCTCGACATTCAGAAGCAGACGATGCGCAAGCATCATTTCAGCGTGAAGCACGAGGCCGCGGTGCTGCAGAAGGAACAACGTGATGGCCTTAAGAAAGGCCAGAAGTCCATGACAACCTTCGACAAGGGTGACGACGACGCCAGGCGAATTGCTCGATTAATGGCAATCGCTCTCTTCATCTGCAAATCTGACGCCCCTATTGTGCTTTTCGTTGCTCTTGTTCAATTCATGGCTGAGCAGGGCACGCCGGACATGCCCGTGAAGGAAAACGGCACGTACTACAGCGAGTGAGTAAAATTTCTGTATCCCGCTTATGTCTGTGTGTCTGCTCCACCATGCTCACGCCCCTATTGTTTTTGTGTTACAGGTACGGTTTTGCACAGCTAGTGGCGACAATGGTGTCATACCTGCGGTCCCGTCAGCTGCAGTACATCCGAGCCAGCCCCTTTCTCGGGATCCAGCTGGATGAGAGCACGGACCGTAGGCGCGGGAAGCATATGATAGTATACATGACCTTCGTGCGCGACAACCTTCCAGTCACGGAGTTCTACACCCTGCTCTCAGTGGAGCAGTGTGACGCCGCCTCGCTGCTAACTGGCCTGCTAACGCATTTTGAGACGGCGGGCATCGATCTGCAGCGCATTAGCGGTATGAGCACAGACGGCGCTTCTGTGATGACTGGCCAGCACAACGGGTTGGTCGCGCGGCTGCGCACGAAGATTCCTCATCTCGTTTCGTGCCACTGTGTCGCTCACAGGCGAGTTATACCAAGTTGTATGTTGATTTGCCTATCTTGCGTGTACTAAAATGTTTCGGTTGATTCATGCAGGGAGGCGCTGGCAGCAAAAGATGCAGCAACCGCGTTCCCTGACCTCCAGATTGTGGACAAGGCGGTCCGGTCTGTGGTCGACATTCTCGGGCGCCTTGTGGTCCATACGCGTTTCAAGGAGCTGCAAGAGGTCATTTGCGAGACACATTTGGAGATGCAGGGCATCAAGGACGTGAGGTGGCTTTCCCGAGGCAATGCGATCCAGCGACTCGTCGCGGTGTTTCCTGCGGTTGTGATCGTCTTGCAGGAATTCGACAAAAAGATGTACGCGACAGTGACTAGTTTCAAATTCCATTTCTTACTCTACTTGCTTGCCGATGTGTTGAAGGAGCTGAACCTGCTCAACTTGAAGTTCCAGCAACGACAGGTACGCGTTAATGTTTACGCTTGCAACCGCCTTCGTAAACCATAGTCACAATCTAACCATTTCTGCTTCATGCTTTTGCAGATTGACGCCACCCATGTGCTGCAGACGGTACACAACACAACACTCCTGCTGCGGACTCGTTACCTCGACAGCAACGACGAGACGTTCGGGCAAAGCGGCGCTGCGCTGGGTCCATTCTTGGCGAAACATGCCTCGGGGAAGTGTCGGGAGGTCAAGGTTGATGGCCTAGATTCCACCGGAGTGCCAACAACTCACCGCTACCTGCTGCACGAAGAGGCTATCGTGGGGCAGCAGAGCAAAGGCGACCTCAACTCCTGTTTGAAGCTCGGGCGGGACTTCGTTGTTGAGCTGATTAAGCAGCTCGACTACCGACTGCATGATCTCGCGTCGCTCAATGGCGCGAAGCTCTTCAAGAAGTCCCAATACCCCAAGTCACAGGCTAAGCGCGAGCGACGGTTGGCGCAGTGGTTGCAGTCGCTGCGCGACATGTACAAGAAGCATCCCGAGGATCCGGACACTCTGCCAGGTGTGTTAGGCGTATTGTCGTGAGATCTCGGGCTTAATCGTTTTGAAGCCGCGTCGCGTTACATTTGTATTCATGCGGCCGCATCTTTGTCTTCCTCTATTCACCCGCCCATTCGTACAGGTGTGGACTGGGCCAAAGCACAGAGGGAGCTCAACACCTTCGCGACAATCATGAGCACCCACCAGGAGGATGTCGGCTTCGCGGAGGGCCTGAAGCACATGCTCTCCTCACCAGATTGGACAACGAGCTACCCCAACATTGTCCGCCTGTGGATCGCTGTAGCCGTGCTCCCGCTGAGCACTGTGGAGTGCGAGCGCGGGTTCTCGCGGCAAAACGTGATCAAGAGCTGGCTGAGGGGGAACCTGTGCGACGCCAAGCTTGGTGAGCTCATGACCGTGTCTCTTCTGAGCTACAACATGGAGTGGCCCGAGTTGGTGGCTCGGTGGCGCAAATCCAAGAAGAGGAGGCCTGCAAAGGATGTGTTGCTGGCGGGAGTGGAGAGGGAGAGCAAGCGCAATAGAAGAAGATCCGCAGCAGCAGCAGAGGCCCACGCAGCAGCAGCAGCAGCTGCTGTGGCTGCGGCAGAGGCAGCAGCACGCGAAGCGGCAGCAGTAGCAGAAGCAGCCAGGCTGGATGCAGAGTTCCCCTGGCTCAGTCGCAAGGGGAATGCTAACTATCCTATTCCAGTGCCGTCTGATAGCCTAGACAGCTGTAGTGATGCTGATGATAGTGGTAGCGAGTCTGACTGATACGTAGAATGGTGAAATGATACTTAGTTTTCACATTGTATGTTGTAGAATTGATGTAGTTAGTGTAGACCACGTAGAATTGTTCATCTGTCTAATCAGACTTGTGATATTGTTTCGTCCTAGAGGTCAGACGAAAAAAAAGCGCCAATCTGAGCGTAAGACGAATTTTTTTTTTTACCCATCCTGTCAGACAGGCCTGAATCCTAGCGAGAGCCCTGGCTGACAGGGCTTAAGGTCCTTGGTCTGCGTGGTACGGCAGTCACGGATGATGGGCTGCAGCAGCTGACTGCCCTGACGAAGCTGACATATCTCCATCCGCCAGAAGGGGGTTACCTTGAGAACGATGATTTACGCATGCGGATAGGCGGGTAGGATGGCAGGAAGTCATGATGGAGCTGAAGTGAGGGGCGAGTTGACTGATTGTCTTGGGGAGACTGAGGAGAGGCATGGAGACAGGGGGTGTAAAAAACGAGGGGAGCATGGATTTGAGTATTGTAGGGAACGAGAGAATGGTCATTAGAGTTTGTAGCTTGCTGCTGGACAGAAGCCAGCACAGGATGTTTGGTCTCTTGTGTAGGAGGAAAGGCTGATTGATTGTGTCTGGCTTTGGGTTTCTGCTGCCCTTTACATAGAGGAATTGCGCGAGTGGGAAAATAGAAGCTGAGGTTGCGAGGCGCTTCTTTTGAGACTTGTTCACCTCAGGATATGCATGATTGACCATACTCTATAAGAAAACCTACCATAACATGGTTGCAGGGAGAGGTTCAGTAATATACATGAATCAATGACACCCGGACATAACCACCCTAGGATGCTATGATAACTACAGCAAAAATAGGAAGGGGGTCTTGTCATAGGAAAAGGCTACATAGCACCAGGGTCTATTCATACGGTATTGTTTACGGTATTTAGATAAGAAGACAGTTTGGGTGTTTTCAGTATTGGTTTAACATCACAGGTAAAAGCGAGAATGCGAGTTTTTGCAAGATAATTTTCAACCCCCTTGAAATTGCCAGGTTGCACCTCTTTGGCCACTTGTTAGCGAACTATCTACCAACGTGGCAGCAGCGTATAAGAGGGAGGGAGGTGATATCGGCAGATTCCATCGAAATTACCATGCAATTTCATCGAGAAATGATTTCTGCGATGTTCTCTGGTACTCGTTAACAGCTATATTGAGAAAATTTGTGAGAAAGGGGGGTGTTATAGAAAATCACCCTAAAAGGGGGGTATAGTAGAAACGAGGTCCGCTATAGCACCCACCCCGCACAAGCCACCCAAGGGGTCTTCAATTTCGGCGGGTGGTATGTCCGGGTGTTTACGGTAGTTCGTATGAAATAACATTCAAGAGAATGGAGTAGGCACAGTACGGTAGTGTATTCTTCAAAACCGCATCTCACCACCTGCTGGAGAGGATAATACGAAAGCCTTTTTGTTGTCGGGGTGGATGCCATGAGGCGGAGGACAGAGGTAAAGCAGGAAGCACTGGGTCCCTGGGGTAGTGATGAGGGCAGATGTGATGCATGCTGCCGCACTCTTGAGCTCCAACCCATCCACCCCTGCTTGCAATAAACCTGACAAGATTGCCCCCCTTTTCACCTTTGGCTCATCAAACCTCATCGCACCACCTCACGAGGAGCACCTAGTATGGATGAAGCTTCTGTGAATGGCAGCAGGTTGCTGAGACAGTGAGAGGAAGTAAATTGCTGAAGATGGAACAGACGAATTTGAGTGGCAGAGGATGAACAATTACACCTCCCTTAATCTTATCCTCATGTGCTCTGCGGTGATGCAAACAGTTCGTCCTCCTCTGCTTCAAGGCCGGTGTTTGTCGGCACCAATTGTCACGACACATTGGCATACTTCAGAAAGGCGGCCCGGTTATACTTGAGGACAATGTGTGCACAGATCGAGTGAAGCGCATGAAAAAATGGCGACAATGGGTAAACGGCAGGGCAGGGATGAGATAAGCAACGGGTTACGTTCTGGGAATGAGCAACGTAATGAGGTGTGCTTGCACAGCTTCCTAGAGCACACTGACATCACCGCTGATATGGCTCGGCACCTCAGATAACACCACCAGTTTTACTTTTAAAAGTGCTGATAATCCTCACTCCAGCTATGCTAGCTCTGCCCGTGCAATTTTGCCGAAGTGGCTTTAAGCAGCAGGTGCAGGGAGATAAGGGAGGGGGAGTGGGGGACGGGGGAAGGAAGTGGGCCAAGGAAAGGGAAGGTGAGGTTGGGATATTTGGGTGAGGGTTGGGGTGGTGGGGGTTGGGGAGGAAGGGAAGGGGGGAGATGTCAGCATGGAGAGGAGGGGGAGTGGGGGATGGAGGGGGAACTGGGTGATAGCAGACGGTCTTGATAGCTGGAGATGGCGAAAGAAGGGAAAGGCAATTGTCTGCAGGTGCGAAGGCTATGGTTCTGCTGTAAAGCTGGAACGGGAGAAGGTGAAGGTGATGGTGGGAGCAGAAGGAGGATCCAAGATAGGGAGGATCAGTTGGGTTTGTGCATGGGGTGAATGTTGATTAGGGGCACAGCACGATGTGATGAAGGGCATGACATGATGAGATGAGTGGTACGATGGGATTCATGGGATGGCATTATAATAAAACTGCTGAAAGCTGGCTGAAAGGCAGGAGGAGGGGATAGGGAGGAGAGCAGAGGCGTCGGAGGAGCTGAATGGGGTGACAGGGGGTGTTGGATATGAGGAAGGTGATTTAGGGAACGATGGGGGAGACAAGGGAGATGACAGGTGGGAGTGGAAGAAAAGATTGCCAGATGGGGGAGAGAGGGGAAAGGGAAGTTGGTAGGGGCTGGTGAAGAGTTGTTAGCTTGCATCACCTGTCATGATGTTATAAGCCACCCAGAGAGGGGTTTGTGGGTTGGTCAGGTTCTTCTGCCGCTTCACACATATTTTGGTGGACCGTGCACTGACCTGTACAGATTGGGGGAAAGCGGCACAGCCTTGAATGAGCAGCTGAAGTGAAAATGCTTTGAGAAAGGCGAGGAGGGGATGGATGGGGAGGAGAACGTTTGGGTGGCTAAGGCTTGGGGGAGACAGGGAGGTGGATAGATGGGGCCATTCTGCAGCAAAGAAATTCAATGTGGCACTGGGGGACACGGGAAGATAGATAGGTATGCTAGTGGAGCAAGGCATCTGACACTGCAGTGCAAGTCAGCCGCCCGAAGATATGCTCACAGTGACATTGTACAGTGCGAGAACGCGAGTGATTGTGGGAGAATGCGAGTGAATAACAAATTCATGCGGGTTCGTAAAAAACCACTCACTCTACACGCTCGAACGCACCTTTAGAAACGGCATCAGCCTGCACTTCACTCTTCACATGGAGCCTAAGAGCCTCGAATGTCCAGCATGCAATGAGCAACCTGCATCTAACCCCACACTGCCACAATCTCGCATCCACGGCTTCTGCTCCCTCGCTCTGCCCTCTCATGTCTCCCTCCATCCCGCCTCCCTCCGTCCAATCCTCGCACAACGCACCCCCTCCACTTGCCGCCCTGCCTTGACATGAACGTCCATGGACGCGCGGATGCGAGGCATGGGGAAGGGCAGGGTGGAGGAAGCGGAGCGGGGCACGGCGCGGCGGAACGTGGACAGATGAGACTCGAGACTCGCCCTAGGCGTCACCTGCACTAGCGGGGCCAGACCCGCCACCACATGCTGCCACCCCACTCTCGCTGCTGCAGCTGACGCTCCTCGGATACGCTTTCTGACAGAGGAATCGCACCCTGCCGCCCCTGCCGGTCGGTGGGCCCTTGCCGACAGCAGAGACCGTGAGAGCACCAGTCAGCCTGTAGTTGTCTGAAGCAGTGCTAGAGCTCTCAGCCGGAGTGACCCAAGCCTGCGTACCTCCCCCCGAAAAACCCCTTTCACACTGCCATGAGCACCCTCACTCTAGACCCCCAACATCTCCTGCATCTGCCGCTTCCCAGCACCTTCAACCACAAGTCAATCTCCTGTGTTGTATCCCCATCTGAGCTTTTATCCACACCCCATGACTCTCAGCCGCCTCCTCCCGACCTTCCCTGTCCTCCTCTCCATCCTCCTCCTCTTCCACCACATCCCCCTCAAGCATGCCCTGTGCCTGCCTCAACCCGCCTGCGTCTGAATCAGCGCTCACAGCAGTATCATCCGCGAGCCACAGCAGCGGCGCCATGATATCCCCCAGCCCGACCAGCTTACTCACTGTCACCACATTCACTGGTTTGTGCCCCCAGCAGACGAGGCGATGAGAGAGAATCGAAACGGTGGAGCAGAGCTGGCAGACTGTGATTAGCAGGAGGACGGCAGGAGACGACGAAGAGGGATGAATCAGAGAGGCATCGAACGAAGCCTGGCTGTGATAACGATACGTACAGAGACGGAGCAAGAAAGAATGCACTCCCTCTCTTCTCACGCTCACGCCTACCTTGCTTACCCCTCCCCTCCTGCCCCATCCTCCGCCACCCTCATCCCGAGTAGCTGCAGGCAGGTGGTGCGCTGTGGCCCCATCATCAGGCTTGAACTGCCCCAGGCTTGTCCTCACTTACAGTATGGCAGGGCAAGCCTGATGCAGGCCCACATGTGGCCGTGCGAGAGTCAAGGCGGTGGAGCAGAGCTGGCAGTTTCCCTTGAGCAGGGGCCAGGGCGCACAGGAACGCCGCCACAGAGAGGCACGGCACGGCAGCCCGCGGTGTGGTAGGCAGGAGGAGCAGCGCCGGCGCCATGTGTGTGCGCAGCTCCTCGTTCACCACTCTCGCACAGCACTGCACGCGAGTGGGGCAGTGGGAGGGGTAATGAGGGAGAGGGAGGAGGCGGGGAACGGGTGCGTGGGGAATGGCTGAGAAAGGGGTTGGGGTGGGGACAAAAGGCACTAGGAGTGTGGGTGGGGTGGGGTTCAAGTGGCTGAGAAGCGGGATGCAGGATGATGTAGGAAGGGAAAATGAAGAGAAGGGGGAGGGGGTGGTGTGGCAATTGGATGGGCAGACAGGCAGACATGCTTGACCACACCTTTCAATCACTGCATGAAGGTGGGATGAGGAGGGGGCAGAGACAGGCAGACAAATCACAGATCATGGCGAGCAACTGGTAGGCGAAAACGGGGAGAGTGGATGGGAGGTGAAGCACCACAGACATGTCACATGCTTGACCACATCCTCAATCACAGAATGCGATGATGCCATATGCTGGATCGCACCTCATCATTCTTTGCATGAAGCCTAAAAGACCCGAATGACCAGCATTCGACCAGCGTGGAGCCTGAAAAGTCCAGCGTGCATTCAGCTCTGCTGCTTCACTCTTCTCTTCTCTCCCACGCCCTCCTCCAGCCCAGATTCCTCCACTCGCTGCCACCACTGCTGCCGCTGCAGCCCGTGCCTCTCATGCTGCCCGGCCGTCCATCGCAGCGACAGGTTGGGCTCCTCACGAAGGCAGGTGCTCTTGGTGTGGGCAGAAGAAGGGAGTGATGGGGAGAGATGGAAGGAAGTGAGTTCATATTACCGAGCGAGCAGAGGGGTTTCTGACAGCTGTTGGCATTGCACGGAAAAGCTGTGCTTAGATTCATCCTTTCGTCAGCAAACATAGACAAAGGCGCAAAAGGAACAATTCAGATTCCTCAGTATTGGATGCAAACTTGGTTAGTTGACTCCTCTCACCTCCACATTGGCACGTCGCCCCCCTGTCTGTGGACAGCTCAGCGAGAAGCCATTCACATTCATTCCACCTGCCGCAACGACGGAGTGATGCGTCAAACATTGGCAATGGCGGTGACGAGAGTCGACTTGGAGATAGTTCTGTTGTCCGTCTCGCCAGCTTCGCGTCTATCAGGGACGGCTGAGCTTCGGCTGTGGCAATCATCCCCCAAACTCGTCAGCAGATCTATACCCTGGCGTACTGTGCAGGTTAGACATAGATGGCGCATTAGGAAAAACATTGTCGCCTTGCTCGACCCTACCAACCTTCCTGCTGTCCGTCTCCACCCACTCCCTGCTGACCAACATCGCCGCCATCACTGCCGTTGCTGCAGCCCGTGGCTCAGCCATGCTACCCGGCTGCATGTCGCGTTGATGAGATGTGCCCCTTACGGTTTGTACAGGACACGGTGCTGTTGTTGTGGGAAGGAAAAAGGAGCACGGGGGAAGGGTAAATGGGCAGGACGGGGGTGGAAGGGAAAGCGCAGAGTCTGAGCAGAGAGCTGATGATGGCGATGCATGCAAGAAGGCAGAGCTCACTCTCCGTTAACCTCGTAGGAAAACAGAGGCGACATACTGGGCGCGGATAGGCGTAGGAGCAAGGGAGGGAGGCAGGCTTTGCAACATTGATGGGAGGGAAGAAGTGGGAGAGGATCATGAGCGAACTATCCAGATCCCTCCATGATCATTCTCTAGAGTCGGGCGACGGTGGAGCAAACATCATGCTCGGCTTCTCACATGGGTGCTGGCACCCAGCTGCTATAGCATCAGGGATGCTGTCAGCTGAAAAGCCACCACGTCCTGCCCGCTTTCTCACCTCGGCGTTTGGCACCCACTGCTATCATTAGGGAGCGTCAGCTAAATAGCCGTTAGCTGAGGCCTTCAGATTGGGGTGCGCGCGCATTCATCCCACCTACTGCCACGACGCAGCCGTGTGTCCGGCCATGGCGAATGCGCCGACGGGATCCATCACCAGAAAGCACATGAAATTCGCGCGAGAAGGGTGCGCGTGTGCATGAGTGTGCGCGTGTGCATGAGTGTGCGCGTGTGCATGAGTGTGCGCGTGTGCATGAGTGTGCGCGTGTGCATGAGTGTGCGCGTGTGCATGAGTGTGCGCGTGTGCATGAGTGTGCGCGTGTGCATGAGTGTGCGCGTGTGCATGAGTGTGCGCGTGTGCATGAGTGTGCGCGTGTGCATGAGTGTGCGCGTGTGCATGAGTGTGCGCGTGTGCATGAGTGTGCGCGTGTGCATGAGTGTGCGCGTGTGCATGAGTGTGCGCGTGTGCATGAGTGTGCGCGTGTGCATGAGTGTGCGCGTGTGCATGAGTGTGCGCGTGTGCATGAGTGTGCGCGTGTGCATGAGTGTGCGCGTGTGCATGAGTGTGCGCGTGTGCATGAGTGTGCGCGTGTGCATGAGTGTGCGCGTGTGCATGAGTGTGCGCGTGTGCATGAGTGTGCGCGTGTGCATGAGTGTGCGCGTGTGCATGAGTGTGCGCGTGTGCATGAGTGTGCGCGTGTGCATGAGTGTGCGCGTGTGCATGAGTGTGCGCGTGTGCATGAGTGTGCGCGTGTGATGAGTGGTGCGCGTGTGCATGATGTGCGCGTGTGCATGAGTGTGCGCGTGTGCATGAGTGTGCGCGTGTGCATGAGTGTGCGCGTGTGCATGAGTGTGCGCGTGTGCATGAGTGTGCGCGTGTGCATGAGTGTGCGCGTGTGCATGAGTGTGCGCGTGTGCATGAGTGTGCGCTGTGTGCATGAGTGTGCGCGTGTGCATGAGTGTGCGCGTGTGCATGAGTGTGCGCGTGTGCATGAGTGTGCGCGTGTGCATGAGTGTGCGCGTGTGCATGAGTGTGCGTGTGCATGCGTGGCGCGTGTGCATGAGTGTGCGCGTGTGCATGAGTGTGCGCGTGTGCATGAGTGTGCGCGTGTGCATGAGTGTGCGCGTGTGCATGAGTGTGCGCGTGTGCATGAGTGTGCGCGTGTGCATGAGTGTGCGCGTGTGCATGAGTGTGCGCGTGTGCATGAGTGTGCGCGTGTGCATGAGTGTGCGCGTGTGCATGAGTGTGCGCGTGTGCATGAGTGTGCGCGTGTGCATGAGTGTGCGCGTGTGCATGAGTGTGCGCGTGTGCATGAGTGTGCGCGTGTGCATGAGTGTGCGCGTGTGCATGAGTGTGCGCGTGTGCATGAGTGTGCGCGTGTGCATGAGTGTGCGCGTGTGCATGAGTGTGCGCGTGTGCATGAGTGTGCGCGTGTGCATGAGTGTGCGCGTGTGCATGAGTGTGCGCGTGTGCATGAGTGTGCGCGTGTGCATGAGTGTGCGCGTGTGCATGAGTGTGCGCGTGTGCATGAGTGTGCGCGTGTGCATGAGTGTGCGCGTGTGCATGAGTGTGCGCGTGTGCATGAGTGTGCGCGTGGTGCATGAGTGTGCGCGTGTGCATGAGTGTGCGCGTGTGCATGAGTGTGCGCGTGTGCATGAGTGTGCGCGTGTGCATGAGTGTGCGCGTGTGCATGAGTGTGCGCGTGTGCATGAGTGTGCGCGTGTGCATGAGTGTGCGCGTGTGCATGAGTGTGCGCGTGTGCATGAGTGTGCGCGTGTGCATGAGTGTGCGCGTGTGCATGAGTGTGCGCGTGTGCATGAGTGTGCGCGTGTGCATGAGTGTGCGCGTGTGCATGAGTGTGCGCGTGTGCATGAGTGGTGCGCGTGTGCATGAGTGTGCGCGTGTGCATGAGTGTGCGCGTGTGCATGAGTGTGCGCGTGTGCATGAGTGTGCGCGTGTGCATGAGTGTGCGCGTGTGCATGAGTGTGCGCGTGTGCATGAGTGTGCGCGTGTGCATGAGTGTGCGCGTGTGCATGAGTGTGCGCGTGTGCATGAGTGTGCGCGTGTGCATGAGTGTGCGCGTGTGCATGAGTGTGCGCGTGTGCATGAGTGTGCGCGTGTGCATGAGTGTGCGCGTGTGCATGAGTGTGCGCGTGTGCATGAGTGTGCGCGTGTGCATGAGTGTGCGCGTGTGCATGAGTGTGCGCGTGTGCATGAGTGTGCGCGTGTGCATGAGTGTGCGCGTGTGCATGAGTGTGCGCGTGTGCATGAGTGTGCGCGTGTGCATGAGTGTGCGCGTGTGCATGAGTGTGCGCGTGTGCATGTTGCATGTCCCCCTTTGCATCCTCCCATGTCTTCTCTGCCTCTCAGGCCAATGCCACTGCCACAGGCGGACACCTCTCTCTTCAGCATGACCATGCTCCCAACCCCCCTCTTCAAACCAGCAAGACCCTGGTGCGTGTTGGGGTGACTAGCCTTTAAACTAGCCATCTTGCTGCAATCACTCTATCAAAGTTTTGCGTCCTGTTGGGTTTCGACATAACTGCTTCTCGCATTTCTGTTGGGTTCACCATTCTCTTATACCCCATGTATCCCATGCCGCAGGTCCCTCTTCTAATGATGTTATACGTTGCCACTGCAACGCTCATGGCACTGATGTGGGGACTGGGCGTGACCCACACGCAAGTCAGAGCATGGGTGCATCAGCAGGGCTTGGCTGTGACGGCTGGGCTGATGGTATGCAATGTGATATGCCCTCCCAACATTGCTTGCAGCCTATCTCGGTGCAATCTCGTCTCCTTCTCCCTTCCTTTTCGAGCTCACTCCTCACGCCTTCATGCCCCCAGTTTCCCCCAGTCTCCCTCCCTCGTTTTCCCCGTGCTGTGAACAAACATCTCGCTTGTCTTCTCTCATTCGCCTCACTTCTCTCCACTCCTTTCAACCTCATCCCGCTGGCCCTTCCTCGCCCTGACCATCCTGCAGCATCGTGGAATCTTCTCTCTACTGCAGAGCCTCGTGTGAGCATGCCACATCTCATCTCACCATTTTACAATCTCATCCCAGGGTCCATTTCTCGCATTCGCATCCTCTTGTTTCATGTACTTGTATGGCTTGTGTGTTTCACATATAGCCTCTACTAACCCCGTCTTGTGGCCACATCATGGCTTCTCCCTTGCTGCACTGTTGATGGGCTGTCCATGGCTTCTTGTGTCGAAACGCTCTCATGTTGTATGCCTTTCTCATATCTAGCGTGTCGACTCTGTAATGCTGGTATTTCACTTTGCCCATTAATTTACATTATTGACAGCAAATTCCCTCATTGTTCCATGCTGCCTAAATCGGAGGTCTCTTTCTTTATGATTTGTTTCCCTGCGTTCCATCGACTTCCTCATATGATCCACTCACATTGAATCTCCTTAACCTATCCATGATTCCTAGTATCTTGTGTACCGTGTGCTGCCACCCATGTGCTGCCACCCATGTGCTGCCACCCATGTGCTGCCACCCATGTGCTGCCACCCATGTGCTGCCACCCATGTGCTGCCACCCATGTGCTGCCACCCATGTGCTGCCGTCCATGTGCTGCCACCCATGTGCTGCGTCACTCTGCTGCATCACGTTCTTGTGTGCTGCTACACCCGTCTGTTCCCGTAATGCTGCTATGAGGCAGGAAGTGTGCCTTTGCTGGGATGCAGAGAGCTGGCGTGGTCGTTGGGACTGTCATAGCGAGCATGGCTGGGACCCACAAGTTGGAAGAGATGTTGATGATGAGAATGAGGGTGATGATAGGGCAGGTGGAGGAGAGGGGGGGAGAGATGGCAGCAGAATTGGCAGCAGTGAGGAAAGAGCTGGCTGAGCAGCGCGATAGGGCTGAGAGAAGGAGAGAAGCCGATTTGAGAGAGCTGAGGGAGGAGATGAGGGTGAGAGAGGATGAGATGAGGGCGGAGTTGGCAAGGGTGAGGGAGGAGATGAGGAGGGAGGTGCAGGAGGTGATTTGGCCACGTGTCTTGGAGGGATTGGCAGAGTGTAGAAAAGGAGTGACTGTTGACCTGGGAATCATCCAGAGTGAAGGCCATGAGAGGACTGCTTGGGAGGTGAGTGCTGGTTTGAGTGATTTCTTTGACAGGGCATGCATTTGCCTGGTACGCCATGCATGTGACAGGGCATGCATGTGACAGGGCATGCATGTGACAGGGCATGCATGTGACAGGGCATGCATGTGACAGGGCATGCATGTGACGGGGCATGCATGTGACAGGGCATGCATGTTGACAGGGTAATCACCATTCTTGTCTTTCTTCCCCTCTTCACCCATCCCCGCCAGCGAATCAAGTCAGCATCACAAGGAACTGATGATCTGAGCCTGGCGGGTCTCAACGGCGTCTCAGACGCCATGCTCGCCCATGTGTCCAGCATGAAGCAGCTGAAGCACGTTGCCCTGTACTCTAGCTCAGGCTTCAGTGCAGAGGGCATCAAGCACCTCTGCCGGCTTCCACAACTCCAGACGCTAAACCTGAACAGCACGGACATTTCAGACAGTGCATTGGAAGGCATTGGGGCCTTGACCAATCTGGAGATCCTTTATCTTTATGATACCAAGGTGACCGATGCTGGTCTGCCGCACTTGACAGGCATTGCATCACTCAAAGAGCTAGGGCTTGGTGAATGCAGTGTTACAGATGCTGGCATGGTGCATGTGGGGAGGTTGACGGGGCTTGAAAAACTTTGGCTGAACGGAACCGCAGTCACAGATGATGGGCTGCAGAAGCTGAGTGGCTTGACCAAGCTGACAAAACTCTACCCGCCTGAAAGAGGTTGCCTTGCGAACGATGATGCGCGTTGACGCATAGGCAGATCGGGGCGCAGGGAGTGATAGTGGAAAGGGATTCGAGGTGAGGGAGTTGAGGAAGGACGTGCTGTCTTGGTAGGAAGACTGGGGAAAAGGGATGCAAGGGGAGTGAAGAATGAAGTGTGTGCCATGCATGCTTAGGAGTGAGGTATGGAGTTATTGTTGTGGACGGCCTAGCTTCCATGTTGCTGATAGTTGGAAAATTGGGGTGTAAAACTCTTGCGATGCAGTTGGAAGATGCAGGTTCAGGCTTGCTTCGGCAAGTGACCAGGTACATGAGGGGAGGCTGCTTGAGCCATGCATGCCTGGCTTGGGTGGAGCAAGGTAAGGTGTACACATGCTCTTCATTTGGGGAAGAAGCATGTGTCAGAAAACAGAAACTGAAGAGTGGACATACTACCGTAATTCAAGGGATAAACCTCCACCATCCAAATTGTAGTAGACTCCTGGGTATATACCGTAATATGGGGAGGGGTACTTTGTTTGTGTCAATTATAGTTATACCCCCCTAATCTAGTGAATTCTTTATAATTTCCCACATGCTTAGTTTGCTAGTTTCTATAATACCCTTCCGACGAGATGAGAGGATGTGGGTATCGCGCAGTCACCATAGTACGTCTTGGTTCTTTTCACCATTGCCAGGCTGATGAATTCGAGTCTGTCTAGTGTCGAGAGTCCCCACCCTCTAGGGCCTTATATTTGGGGTATTTTGGTAATCATTCTACCGGTATTAATGCTCATCTTCAGTCGCGAGAAAGTTAGCCTGATTCAATAGTTTCATTTCACCGCCTGCTTGTGGGTCGAACTGAAGCTTGTAATACCTGATGGGAGGGGAGAGAGACAGACACACGAAAAAAGAACTCAAGCAAGGAATGAATCATGGGAGACACTGGAATGAACCAACCCTGATAACAATCAGATACAGGTTCCACACAAGACCTGATATAGCATACCGTAACTAGTATATGTACAAACCTATGTCCATAAAAGTATGAGCACACGTACGCGCCAGTGCTGCCGACCACGATGACGGTGTTTGGGTCGGCACCAAAGGCAGCGAGCATGTGCGTGTGCACGCCGGTGCGGTAGAAGGCCAGCGAGCGCTCTCTGAAGTACTTCTCCGGAAGGACCCCTGGGGAGGAACGAGAGGTAGAGGAGTCACGGAGAGGCAGGAGGCAAGGGGGGGATGGCATGAGAGCAGCGAGCATGCCAATGCGGTGGCACATCAAAGAGGGCTCGTCGCTGAAGTACTTGGGGAGAGGAGGAATAAAGGAGAGGAAGAGACTTGGAGAGGAGTCACGGACAGGCAGGAGTTAGAATGGATGTCCGGAGTCGGAAGAATTTTCAGTTCTTAGAAATGCTTGTCATTGAAAAAACTTTGGGGGGAAAGGACTCCTGGGGGTTGGGAGGGGAGGAGTCATGGCAAGCGAGGTTATGGAGAGGCAGGAAATGAGCGGGGAGACTGGGGTAGTAATAGAAGCAGGGGAGCACTCACCACTGAAGTGACGCGCACGGATAGGCAAGAGACACAGGGGGAGTAGCATGAGAGCAGAGAGCATCTGCGTGTGCACGCCAATTACCCTAACATACCCCCCTATTATAACGCCATGCACCCGTACTGAAACACACCCCTTGTAACACCCCTTAAGAACCATACCCCGTAAAACCCAACCCTTCGAAAAAATTAAACATTAGCATAATCCACCCCTCAAATGACCCACCTTTCAACAATCCCAATGACGACAGTGCTCCTCCACCACTCCCCGATGCCCTGCCCATCCCCCCTCCCCCTTCACCCCCAACCCCATCCTCCTGCGCCTGCCCCTGTCCTTGCCCCTGCCCCTGCCCGTGCGCCTGGGAGTGGGAGTGCCCCAGCGAGAACACGTGCACAGTGCCCCTGTCACTGGCAGCCACCAGGAAGGGCGCCTTGGGGGAGAATGCGAGGCTGTAGATGTTTGCTCTCTCCACTCCTCGGCGCAGCTGAGATGTGGGCAAGAGGGAAGAACATGGAAGAGGGTGCAGGGAGCAGGGAGCAGGGGCACGGAGGGGTAAGGAGCACACACACACACACACACACACACATCGACGGTGTATACATGGCACATGGTGCACGCATGGCACACACACGGTGCACGCGTGGCACACACATGGTGCACGCATGGCACACACATGGTGCACGCGTGGCACACACATGGTGCACGCGTGGCACACACAGGGTGCACGCGTGGCGCACACACGGTGCACGCGTGGCACACACACGGTGCACGCGTGGCACATGGAGGTGCAGTACCTCGTGCAGTCTCGTCCCATCCGCCGTGTTGATCACCCGAATGATCGTGCCCTTGCTGCTGGCGGTGGCCAGCAGCTTCCCGTCCAGAGAAAGCGCCATGCAGGCTGGCTGAGAGAAGCTTGCGCCGCGCACGTACCCGCGGCGCTCTTCAAACAGCTCCACGCAGATCTGATGGATGGGAGGACGGCGGAGAACAATGGGTGGGGCTGGGGGGTATGAAAGCCGGGGGAAAGAGGAAGCGATTGTTGTTTCGGGAGCCTGGGGGCAGTCATATGCCGCTCCGAAGTGCTGCGGCGTTGTTCCAAGCGCTCCATGCGGATCTGAGGAAGAAGGGGGGGGCACGTTTAAAGGCAAACACATAGAAGAAGAGAGCCTTCCGGGGAGAGAGAAAGGTTGGAGGGGGAAGAGGAGAAGTGGGCTCCAAGTCATGTGACAATGAAGTGCATGTGGCGCTGATCGGAAGGATCCACGCGAAAGGGGAGCGGAGAAGGGGCGGAAGTTGAAGACTTGAGACTCTCACCACACGTCGGACGGACGGACGCTTGCACGCACGCATGTGGCATGTGGCACCATCCCACCATCCCACCACCATCCCACCCACCTATGTGACGGAAGACGCGTCTAGCGTCTTAGACGGTTGCGTCTAGACGCAACGTCTAAGACGCTAGACGCATTTCAGGCCAGATTAGACGCATATTAGACGAAAACCCGGGCAGGCCAAAAAAAACGTCCGGGCAGCGAAAAAAACCCTCTTATAGGGCGTGGAGAGGGCGGGGAGAAGGACATTGCACACATTTTGGCAAAAAAGGTTGAGGATTTCTGAATGAGAATTGAGTTAGCGTGTAACCCCAAGGTTTTTGAAGGAGAATTGAGTTGGACTAGATATGAGGAGCACAGATGAGGTGGTTGTGCTCCTATATGCCTTTGGTGGTGGTCCACAAAGACCTTCGAGGTTGCAATTTGGGTTGGGGGGTAACAAAAGTTGGTTGGTTGGGCTGTTTTTCATTGTTGAAATGGGTGGGAGGGGGTTCAAATGTTGCGAAATTGAATTTCGCGTCGAAATCGCGAAATTCGATTTCGGCCGCGCGAATTTGTTTTTTTCGGGCTGACCGAATTGTTTTTATCCAAGCGTCTAGCGTCTAAACACGCGTCTAGCGTCTAGCGTCTAGCGTCTAGACGCTAGACGCAAGTCGCGTCTTGCGTCTTCCGTCACATAGCCACCCACCATCCCACCCACCATCCCACCCACCATCCCACCCACCATCCCACCCACCATCCCACCCACCATCCCACCCACCATCCCACCCACCATCCCACCCACCATCCCACCCACCATCCCACCCACCATCCCACCCACCATCCCACCCACCATCCCACCATCCCACCCACCATCCCACCATCCCACCATCCCACCCACCATTCCACCATCCCAACGAGCATCCTCCGGCCGCTTGGCTGGGCACGCCAGGACGAAGTTGTCGGGCGACTGCGACACCGCGCACAGCCCCGTGGGGTTCCACGGCGTCTCCATCTGCCAGGCATGGGATGGCAGTGGCGTGGTGGGTGGGGCCGACAGGCACAGGAACGTGCTGTGCTGTGCTGCATGGGGCAGCAATGGCAGTATGCAAACAATCACAAGCTGTCGGGCGACTGGGACACCCGCGCACAGCCCCTTGGGATTCGACAGCGTCTCCTATCCACCTGTCGTGTGGAAGAAGTTGGTGATGGATGGTGGTGGTGGTGGTGGTGGTGGTGGTGGTGGTGGTGGTGGTGGTGGTGGTGGTGGTGGTGGTGGTGGTGGTGGTGGTGGTGGTGGTGGTGGTGGTGGTGGTGGTGGTGGTGGTGGTGGTGGTGGTGGTGGTGGCGAGGAAGAGACACAGGCGCATGATGGAATGCGGCAGATGCATAGAGAAAGCAATCGGGCTGGTCTGATTGACTGGGATACCTCGCACAGCCCCTTGGGGTTTGACAACGTCTCCACCTGCCAGTGTGATGTGAGGTGGTACCTAGAGCAGGCATCACCTGGTGCAGGTATCACCTGGTGCAGGCATCACCTGGTGCAGGCATCACCTGGTGCACTAGCTTCAGGCCAGGGAAGGTGTACACGAGGATCTTGTGCTCGAGCACAACGACGATGTGGTCCCTCCTCAGCCGCACGCCCCTCACTTCGCTGCAAAAGGCTAGCTCGCCAATGCACCGCCTCTCCTTGTCGTCCCAAATTATCACCTGAGGTAGGTGAACGGGGGGGGGGGGGGGGGGGGGGGGGGGGGGGGGGGGGAGAGGAGGGGATGTGAGAATGGGGGGGAGACAGGAAGGAGAGGGAACGACACACGAAGAAAGGGCAGGGATTATTCACCCGCTTGGGTGCGTCAGCTCGCCGAAGCACCAGCCGTGCTCACAGGTCATCGGGTAAGAGGGGGGGTGGGGGGAAGAGGGAACAACACAAGAAGAGAAACGATTGTAACGAACCCTCTTGCCTATGCACCGGGTGTGTCTGTCGCACCAGTTCCCCGTGCCTTATTCTCACTCCCTCTCCCCTCACCTCCTCTCTCACCTCCCCTTTCACCTCTCCTCTTACCTCCCCCCTCCTCACCTCCCCTCATGTCCCCTCACCCTCCCCTCACTTCCCCTCACCTCCCCTCCCTCCCCTCCTCCCCTTCCTCCCCTCGCCTCCATTCCTCCCCTGCCGCACCTTCTTTTCCGCTATCGGGCTCCCAGATCTCCTCACACCTCTCTCTTCTCCTCCCCGCACCTTGTTCGGCGGGTAGCACGGGTTGGGACCGCCGCCCACGAGCGCGAGTAAGCTGGAGGAGAACAGCATCTCCACCATGCCCACGCCGCGCCCCTCAAACTCGCGCCGCAGAATCTCCTTCAGCTGGTCGCACCGGAACACGCGAAAGCCGCCGTGCGTTGCGTACGCGAAGAACGTGGAGTCCTGGTTGAACCGCACCGGCGGGTGTTGGGGCAGCGGGGCCAAAGTGGTGGCGGGCCGCGCGGAGACAGCGCCCGCGGAGTCGGTGTCGGCGGGAAGTTCCGCCTCCCTATTCTTCACCCTCAGTGCCGCCGCAAAAATCGCGAAAGGATCCGTCGGGTCGAATTCCGCTCCGCCAACTTGTTCGGGGGTCTGGGCGCTAAGCATGACGGCAACAATCCCGAGGCCTGCCTCGCTTTGTCCGAAAGCCTCGAGGGTGGACGAAAAAGGCACCTGCAGAAGCCGCGTGACGACAGACGGCAGATTCCTCAGCTGTAGACAGACGGGCCGCGCTTTCAGCAGACAGACGGGCAAGTGATTGTGGCTGCGGGCGAAGGGGCGCACAGGAAGAGAAGCAGAAGGCAGCAGTGGGACACGGGAAATACTCAGCAGACAGAAAGATGAGACGAGCTCCGCTGCCGCCAGAGGGTGAAAGGGCGCGCGGGAAGGGAGGCAGTCGGCAGCAGTGGAAGCAGGCGCCGCTTCTCAACGGACCGGATCATGACAAAGCTCCGCAGCCAGGGGAGAGAAAGGTGGTGATGAAGATGAACGCCGCAAGATGAGATGGAGAGAAATTATGCTCACGAGTGTGCTCTTAGGAGGAAATCGGCGGAAGTGGAAACACGTGTGCATCATGTTGGCTTTATTTCAGAGGGAAGAGCAGGGATCCCTGCTCGTTGGGGCGCCACAATGAAGAGGGTAGAGGGGGAGGATGAACGAGGGAGGAGAGGAAGGATGCATGCTATGATCGGACGCGCTTCGCCACCCATCATTCATTCGCGTCGCACCCAACCCATCCTAACGCCTCGCACGCCCACGGGCGGATTCATCGCGCCTGTTGTGCTGTTCGCCTCTCAGTCGCCGTGGGCGAGGGTGACGTGCGCAGGCATATGGCCGCTGTGCCAGTCGAGAATTCTCGACCACACCGCATTGGCATGCGATGCGTGCGGGACATGGTCGTTGGAAAGCAGAGAGAGATGTGGAGTGGAGACATCATCGTCATCACACGCTGGACGTGCTCCTCGCGCAGCTCGCGTAGAGCATGCCACGTGCTATCGCGTCACGCTGCTGACGCTCGTCACCCTTGACAGATCGTCGTATCCGATGCTGGTTCGCATTTACGCTTTTGGTAACAAGATGTTACAGTTCCATTTCTGTACTCGAGTTCCCGCTTCTCGCTCGATGTTGCTCGATGTCGAGTTCAACTTTGAGCACCGTAAACTGTTCAGGGTCGCTCTTTTGAACAGTCTCGTCGGCGAATCGTGTTCGTCCCGTCCGAACGAACCCAGACTTCCGTTTCTGCCGTATTCGATACCCGACATTGAATAGGCCCTCAGCCCTTCTAAATTCCACTTTCCCAGAATTCGCTACGCTACCATCCCTGATAGTACCGCCAGAGCGAAGCATTCGCGCAGCGACTCGTTAGGTCCATGACTAGGAATTATTCGCCGCGAGTCGAACCCGCAATATACAACCGCCACCAGAGATCGGTTGACACGATGATGTTGCCATTTGCACTACCTCGATGTCGCCCGCCACTCGAAAGAGGCGACACGCGACTTTACTATTAGGGTTTCGTGCTCGGATTCCGTCACGTAAACGAGGCCTTCGTTCTGCGTTACACGAGTTGTAACTGTGAATTCCGGAGTGAGGAACGTGATGGCGCACACTCATGCACACGCGCACACTCATGCACACGCGCACACTCATGCACACGCGCACACTCATGCACACGCGCACACTCATGCACACGCGCACACTCATGCACACGCGCACACTCATGCACACGCGCACACTCATGCACACGCGCACACTCATGCACACGCGCACACTCATGCACACGCGCACACTCATGCACACGCGCACACTCATGCACACGCGCACACTCATGCACACGCGCACACTCATGCACACGCGCACACTCATGCACACGCGCACACTCATGCACACGCGCACACTCATGCACACGCGCACACTCATGCACACGCGCACACTCATGCACACGCGCACACTCATGCACACGCGCACACTCATGCACACGCGCACACTCATGCACACGCGCACACTCATGCACACGCGCACACTCATGCACACGCGCACACTCATGCACACGTGCACACTCATGCACATGCGTGCACACACAGGAAACACAACAATCGAAGATACATGAGCTTCACAAGATAAAAAAACAGCATGCAAAAGCTCTAGCTTACATGAGGTGGGGAAGCAGAGAGGAGCATGGGAGGGTGCTTGAATTGCTGGCTGTTGGTGTCAACCCTGCCCAATGGCATCACGCTGATAGCGGCGATGGCAGCGCCAAGAGCAAGGCCAACCAGCAGCCCTGGCAGCCCCATGGCCACTGCAGTCATCCGGACCATGGCTGATGGGGCGAGCCCAATGCAAGGCGTGCGCCTGTGCAGAGAGGTGCGGATGCAGGGAGGTGGCAAGAGCACAGCAGCGGGAGGGGGGCAGCGGCAGCCAAAGAAAGATCGGTTCTGAGCATATTGGAGGAAAATGGAGCATATAGGCACAGGGGTCAGACGGTGGGACATAGTAAAATAGCATGAGAAAACGACATGGTAGTCAGATTGTAAGGCTGGACCAAGGTGCGAGGCTTCGGACAGGACAAACGAATGGCTAGTGAGGGGAGGGGAGTAGCAGCAGGAAATGGAACAAAGACACGTTTCGTAGCAACAGCGACTGCACAATGAGAGAGCAGGGGCAGGGGATTGACGGATGGAGTGGCCAAACAAAGGTTGGGAGGGTGCAGTAGTACGGGAGGGGAGGGAGCAGCGGCAGTAGTAGGGGGAAAGGGATAAGCTGACAGCAGCAGGGTTAGAGGAGGACAAGCGGCAGCAGCACACACGTATTGACTTCCTTAGACAATCACTACACATGGATATAGTATAGGGCCAGCCAGTTGATGGACGGACGCAGGACGGATGCTGAACATTTTAAAAGGACAAAGAAGCGATACCCACCTTACTCAGGGGATGACAGCAGAGAGATGAAGGACTGGCGGGGCACGATGGTAACGGCAGCAACGGGGGAGGGCAGCTAAGGAGACGTGTTTGGGTGGAAGAAGGCACGGGGAAGCAGGAGGTATGGGAGAGGGAGGACAGTGAAGTCCACAGCGGAGAACAAGATGGTATAGCAAAGAGCTTGCGGCACGCCGGCATGGGCAACAAGCAGGGAGAGAGATAGAAACGGGAAAAGAAGCAAATCTGGTGACAGAAGTAGCAGCAGCTTTGAAAGTAGCAGATGAAGCAAGCTGAAGGTAAACATGGAAGCACTAAAAAATTAGACGGGTAGAGGCAAGCTGAACTGCAAAGCGATGCGATATTCAGAAGACATATAAAGTGAACAATTAAAGCGAGGGAGGTTGGAAGAGCAAGGCAGGGAACCCGGAGGGGAGGAGAGGCAGCGGTGGGGCAGCAGCAGTGACAGCAGGATGGGCGTGCGCACCTGGTGGTTAAAGGTGGCAGGTAGGCCAGATGGGAGCAGCGAGGTGCCTATTGCGAGCAAGGCGACAGAACAGGTTTTTGTTTGGGGTGGGGAGGGGGAGGGGGGGGAAGAGGAGCAGAAGGAACGAGCTGGATCGGGCGTGGAAAAAAACAGACCATGAAACGGTAGGCCAGAAGAATCGAACTGAAATGAGATGAATAGAAAGCATGCAAAATGAGCAGCACTTAGAAAGGTAGGGGTGGAAACGGATGAGGGGGAACACGTAGGAAGGGTGAGGCAGGGAGCGCAAAACAGAAAAGGTCGGTTGCAACAGAATGCTAACGCAACAGGATGAGCGTACGTACCTGGTGGGTGAGGTGGCAGGTGAGCTTGATAGGAGCAACAAGCTGTTGGGAGTGGGGCACCACTGCGGAGGAGCAAGGGGAAAATATGGAGGAAAATATGCGCAAGGGGGATCTGGCAGGAAAACTCGGAAGAAGCGAAACTACACATACAGGCTAACTTAACTTCAGTGGGAGCGAAGGGGAAAGCAGGGAGCGGAGGGCAGAGAGGGGGGGTGAACTAGGGAGCGCAGGAGAGGGATGCTACCTCCCGTCAACCGTTAATTCACCCGTGCCGCACGCCCATGCTATCCTTTCGCCATCCCACGCCCATATCCTTCGCCTTTCGCCTCGCACGCCCTTTCCATCTGTTCGCACCGCACGCCCACCACCCATGTGTTCATCCTGGTTGGCTCACCTACTCATCGCGCCGTTCGCCTCTCACCATCTCATTCGCCGTTCGCCTCGTCGTTCTGCATCGCCGTCGCACGTCTGAGCCCAACCCGTCGCGTCCTACCGACGAGCACCGCACACCACCTGCACTCGCCACTAACAGATTCTATCGCGCTCAGCGCGCCATGCTGGTATTGCTTCAATCTCGATGTTCGGACGGGAAAGTACAATGCGCATCGATTCGTCCGCCCCTCGGACGGCCACATAACGAGCATCGAAGCCTCGGATAGGGTTACCACAGAGCGTGATGGCATGACCACGGTGTCTCGAGGGGATGCAAGTGGATGGCAGAGGCGTGTGAGCATGTCGGAGGGGGATGCAGATTTGGGAATTCGCTAATGGGCAACGCGATTCGTTCTTTATACGTGCCGAATTTCGCACCGTGCGACGCTCGTTCAAACTAAAATTAGGGTTATTAGGGAATGACGTCGAGGTTAGGCAGGGACTACCAGTCTCCGGCTCAAATCTGGCAAGGGCACACAGTCGGTTCTCACGAGGGCGTTGAAGGCGCATGTAACATCAGCTTAGCGACTTCGTCTCAGGCGAGAATGTGCGATGCTTCGCACGGGAAGTTTCAAGGCTCGTTAGGTGCGGGTTCAAAAGCTAGAGAACATTCAGCAAGATTGATGCGAAAGTCAAAGCACAGCAATCGATCATGTCGGAGTGTAACACCACGTTACCAATAAATGCCAATCCGAACCAACCTTAAACAATTACCTGAGTAATGAGACTTGCCACACAATCGAGAAGCTCAACGGTAGTCTGATCTCACTGATCATGCCACTCAGGCGGACAAGCCGTCTCCCATTACAAGTACTCCCATACTACCGTGTCGCGTCGCATCAAATTCTCCGCTCGATATTGATATGACGGTGTGCATTGGTTCTGCGAACTAACGACATTCGCACAACACCGTGTTGCGCGAAGAAATACATTCGTTTCCTTCGTGCAGTCCGACGACCGTAGTAGTACCCCGCACGCTGGTCGAATCCGACGAGGACTCGACCGCGCGAGCGCCGCCATTCCTCATCGCGACTACATCACGGCGGTTATGTGCTGTCATCCTGCCACACGCTACCTCGTACTCTCCGCAACTCGCCTCGCGTCACGCTGTTATGCCGCATAACCGCCCATTTCCCTCCCCACCCTTCCTCCGCCTTCCCCCCCCTCCCCCTCTCTCTTCCCCCCCTCTCTCACCTCCGCTCCTCGCTTCTGAAGTCCTTCAATGCTCGCAAGGATCCCAAGAGGGTGTGCGAGGCGGCGCGGCGCGGCGCGGCGTGCCACGCATGACTCGTGGCACCTCGGAGGTAGCATGCTCTTTCCTGCTCTTCCTCGTTCATCCTCCTCTCCCTGCTTCTCCCTCACCCTCCCTTATGTCTTCCTTGTGCAGCAAAGCCAGCATCTAATTGTACTTCCTCTCCGTTTCCTCTTGTGCCCTTGATCTTTTCTCGCAACCTTTCTCTTCCCTGCCTGTGGAGTCTTGTCCGTCTGTCTGCTGAGAACCGCTTGCTGCCATCTCTTCCTAGTTCCCACTGCTGTCGACTGCTTCTCTTCCTCTTCGCCCTTTCACCCTCGGCTGCGGAGCTTTGCCAATCTGTGTGGTGGGGAGCACCTAGCTCCCTCTGCTGCCATCTGTTTCTCTTCCCCTGCGCCCTTTCTCAAAAACGCCCTAGAAGCGCCTGGCTGGTTCCCAACGGGCTTGTCGCTGCTCCCATCAGGCCCACCTGCCACTTCCACACGCCAGGTCCGTCCGTCCCTGGTGGTAGCCATCCTGATTACTGTTGTGTCACTGGTGCCTCACCGCTGCCTCCTTTTCCCTCTGTGTTCCTTACCTCACTTTCCCAATGTGTCCTGTCCCTGCTCCCCGTCCACCCTGCCTCATCGTAACTTCTTGTAACTTCTGTCTCCTATGTAATCTCATCTCATTTCAGATCAGCTTGCCTCTTACCGTTTTATAATCAATTCTTCCCGTGTCCATCTCACTCGCCCTCCATCTGATCTTCTCCATCTTGCTTCAGCTACTTCTGTCACTAGCTTTCCGCTTGCTCTTCCCTTACTTCCCTCTTTCCTTGTCAGCCGTTTACTTCATCCTATTGTCGTGATGGTTCTTGCTGTCCGCAAGCTTCTGGCCATGCCATCCTCCTTCTGTCGTATATTTCACTCTCCTCTCCTCCCTCTCCCATACCTCTCCTGCGTCTCCTTCGTTTCACAATCTCCTATCCCCTGCCTCTTTACAGTCACACACGTCCGCAGTCAACCACGGTATCTCACTTCCTCAGCAGCTCCTTCCTTGCCACTGCCAGCTGTTCTTCGCTCTGCTATAAATTCGTGAGGTGAGCAACCCCTGGTTTTATTTACTCTCAAATCAAAGTTTCCACATATCCCCTCATCGTCCTTTCTTGTTACTGCTTCACTCACTACCCCACAGACCACTATCCACCCCGCCAGACTCGCTCCTGTCACCTTTCTCCACCACTTCCTCCCCTCTCCACATGCGCCTCCCTGTCTGTACTCATCCTCTCCGTGCCTACAAAAGACTAGCTTTCTGATTTGGGTGCTCAAAACCACGCCATCCAGCCAGTCCTTCATCCATTTCTTCGCTCGCCACTCACCTTGTGAGGTCAGTACCTCTGTCCTTGTGGCTTCCTCTCTCTGCAATCTTTTTCCCATCATCATGTTCATGTCTCACTATTCATGTCCTTTCCATGCGGCTCCATTCCGTGCATGCAATGCGAATATCTTCATCCACCACTCGTGATGCATATTGCGTCTCGTTCATCCCCTTCCATCACCCCTGCTCTGCTCTGCCCTCTTTCATCGTCCTCGCCCCTGCTGCCCCCCTCCCTCCTCTGGTATGGCCACTGCCCCGCTGCTCCCTCCAATGCTGCAGTGTTCCCCCCCTTCCCCTGCTGCTGCCTATTTCCTTCTTCCCCTGCTGCTCCTACCGCAATCGGCCATGTTTCTCTATACCCTCATTGCCCACTTGCTCTTCGTCGCACCTTCATTCGGCGGCTCCCCCTCCGCCAGCCAGCTCACTCCTGATTCCCAGCCATTGCTTTGGACTTTCCCCTGTGCCCTTTACTCCCAACTCCCTACCCTCCACCTTGGGTTCACATCTGACTGTCACTTCGATCGCCGCCATTCTGCCTTTTCGGGAAGCAGAGAGTGGGAGAGGCGAGAATGGACGGAGCGCTCGAGTGGAGAGAGGTGATGGAGATGAGAATGAGGGCACTTGGTATGCAGCTGGAAGAAACAAGGAGGGAGACGGCAGCAACAAAGAGGGAGCTGAGTGTAATGAAAGAAGAGGTAGCTGGGGTGAAGGGAGAGCTGAATGCAGTGAAGGGGGAGTTGAGTGCAGTGAAGGGGGAGTTAGCTGAGCTCCAGGACAGGATGATGGAGAGATGGGATTCTGTGGAGAGAAGAGGAGAACCGGAGTTGAGCGAGCTGAGAGTGGGGTTGAGAAAAGGAGAGGATGCAATGAGAGGGAGGTTGGCAAGGGAGAGGGAGGAAAGGAGGGAGCATTGCCCACGCGCCATGGACATGGAGGGATTGGCAGCCTCAAAGGAGTGGCTGGTGATGCAAGATTCGAAGATGAATCTTGAGTTGGATTTCGGGCTGGATTCCAACCTGAGCAAAGATGGTCAGAAGAGTGTGTGCAAGGTGAGTGCTTGGTGGTTTGTTTGGCATCCTTTTTTTTTACAAGGCGTGCATTGCTTCCTGGTTATGTCTTGTCGTGTTTTCCGCATCCGCCTTCTTCTCCCAGGTAATCAAGTCAGCCATAAAGGAGACAGATTTGAACCTGATAAGTCATCACAGCCTCTCAGACGCCATGCTCGTCCAAGTGTCCACCATGACACATCTGAAGAGCATTGAGTTGGGCTCTGCCTCAGGCTTCAGTGCAGAGGGCATCAAGCACCTCTACAGGCTGCCACAGCTGGAGAGGCTAAACCTCCACAGCACAAACATCGCAGACAGTGCCTTGCAAGGCATTGAATCCTTAATCTTTCTCAAGGAGCTCTATCTCTGGAGGACCAAAGTGACCGATGGTGGTCTGCCGCACTTAACAGGTCTTTCCTCTCTCGAAGCGCTGTATCTTTCTGATTGCAAGGGTGTGACAGATGCCGGCATGGTGCATGTGGGGAGGCTGACAGGGCTTGAGAGGCTTGATCTGGATTACACAGCAGTCACGGATGATGGGCTGCAGCAGCTGACTGCCCTGACGAAGCTGAAAACTCTCTACACGCCAGATGGGGATTTCCTTCTTAACGATGATGTATGCAGGCGGATACGCAGATATGGTGGCATGGAGTGACGATGGAAAAGGAGGTTAGGGAAGATTTGACCGTGACTGTCTAGGGGAGATTGAGGAGAGGCGTGGAGGCAAGGGGTGTGAAAAAAATGAGGGGAGGCATGCATGCCGAGGAGTGAGGCATGGAGTGGTGGTTGTGCACGATTCAACTCGCATGCTGCAGAGAGCTGGAGACTGGTCGTGTGGAGCTGGTGCCTTGCAGGCTGTTGGACAGATGCAGGTGCAGGGCTGGTTGGGCAGGTGAACCAGTGCAGGGGGGGGTCTGCATGAGTGAGTAATGCCTTCCTGGATTTGGGGGTGGCAGGTTCATTGGATGCTGTTCCAATGTTCTCTTTGGTTAGCCCATTTATATTCGATTGGTGCTGTCAAGCAATGCTGGGATGGTGGATGTTGGAGGTTAGAAGCCTCATCTTGACGGCATGCCACAGATGATGGACTGCACCCAAATCGAATGCCCTGACCAGGCTGGCCAACTTTCCTGCTCCCACAAGGAGGCTGAGCAGATAGTCGGGTAGGGTGGCCGGGTGTAGGAGGTTACCAAGAGACTGAGAGTGAGTGATACTCAGGAGAGGCTTGTACTTAAAGGCGTGGTCTGAGGGGAGATGTTTGCGAGTGCCAGCCTAGATTTGATGAAGGAAAGTTAAGTTGTTCATATAACGCAAATTTTATCTTTCAAGGCTGAAGGGGAACTGCCTGCCTGGGCCTGTGAAAGCGATAATAGCGAAGCAAACCATCTCCCTGTCAAGTTGCTAATGTTGCACAATGGATCAATGGAACATGCATGAGTGTGTGATGTAGTGGCTTGCTCAAAGCATAATTGTCTGGGCTTGCTGTTTAAGTGTGATGCAGAAGGAAAGGAGGCCTGTGTCTGCATGGGAAAGGCAGTGGTCGTGCACGCATGCTGCTGCATTGGCCACCCAGCACATCACCTTATTCCCTGAGGGCATTTCCCTCCTCACTCTCATCCTTGCCCATCAGCAGGACGCTCACCACTCCCTGCAGCAACACCTGGTGGTGTGATAGCAGCGGGCCACAACACAACACAGGTAGAGGAGGTGCCCTGGAAGAGATGGGCTCGAATGGCGTCCTGGAGGCATGCAGGCGATGAAGGCATGCAGTTCTGTATGGATATGGGGAGGGAGGTGCGAAGTGGGGAAGGGGTATGGGGAGAAGGATGGAGCAGCAGGGACGGTGTGCCAGAGAAAGTGTGAGGGTAGCAGGGACGGGGGGAGGAAAGTGCAGGGGTAGCAGGGATGGGATATGAGTTAGGGAATAGTGTGCGGAATGCCAGGGAAGGGATATGAGTCAGGGGATAGTGCAAGGGTAGCAGGGACGGGATAGTGCAGGGGCTGCCATGATGGGATATGGGCAGGGGGATACTGTGTAGGGGCAGGAGGGATGGGATATGAGCTAAAGGCAATGAGCAAGCAGTAGCGGATGACTTATGAGCCGAGGCTGGACTGGGGTAAGGGGATTCTGGAAGCGAGTCAGCTACTCGTGGTGGTGGTGAGCGGGAGTGAGTGGGGGTTTGATGGGAGTAGTGTGGTGTGGCGGACACCTGGGAAGCAGCAGTGATGGTTGGAGTATGCCGGGTATGGCTGATGGGAGGTTGTGTATGCCTTATGAGGGTACCTTTGTCACTATGGCGAAGGAATTGTTATTACTCTCTACATCTCCATTTGACCCCTCCCATTTACATGCTCAGTGTGGCGTTTCTAGTGAGGTGCAATGAATCTGGGCGCTGCTTTCCCATGTGCAATGCCATCAGCTTTCGTATGTCCAACTCCCCACAACCACGCCCCTAACTTGTGCCTTCTCCACCCAACCCCCCCCCCCCCTCCTCTTCCCACAGCAACAGCACCTGTTGTGAACTGGTGGTGAGGAGCCCACCTCAATGCTGCCACACACAACTGGGCAGCATCGGCAATGCCATGAGAGAGAGTACATTCAAGTGAGAAGTGGATGCACGCGAGTGACGAAAGACGCATGGGGGGGCGGATTCTTGCAACCAGCGGATTGCGTGCTGAACGTGGGGTTTTTAGGCTCCACATGAGAAATGAAGAGGTGAAGTCACATGTTGACATGCCATGAATGTGGATGGCTTCTCTTCTCAATTGATGGCAGGCAGGGCGACGCCGACGTGCCAATGCGGAGGTGAGAGAGGCAAAGTAGGCGAGCCACTTGCTCACACTATTTGTCTTGTTCCATCCGTTGTTACAGGTTAAGCTGCTCCCCTTTGCTCCCAGTATGGTGGCCTACCAATAGTTTGCTGATGGACAAATGAGTGTCTGTGAGCGCTACTTTTCTGAGCGCAATATTATCAGCTCTTTCTCCATCCACCCATCCCTCCCTAGCAGTACGTCCAGACCCTCTTCGCTCTCTCTCCCACCCCCCCACACCCTTCCCTTCCCACACCAGCAGCACCTGTGACCGGTCTTGTATTGGCTCTAAGAGAAGAAGAGAAGAGATGCGGACTAGAGCAGCTGCCTTTGGTAACTTGCTGTTAACGAGGCCAGGATCGAGTAGAGAAGGTGAAGACGAAACTGTTGCAAGGAGTAAGCAACAAGGGAGCGGGTGGCAGGGAGGACACGAAGAAGGGGAAACAGTAGAAGGTGAAGTAGCGGAGGAGGACGAAGAGAGAGGAGGAGGAGAGACGTCAGAGGGAGGTCGAGGAGGAGACGAGGTGGAAACAACGTGGGCAAGGAGTACAACGGGGTGTGCATGGTACCAAGGCCCTGCGGTGAGAGACCTCGTGCGTTTTGACATGTTCCATGCTGTTTCACATTGATGGGGCTGACAGATGTGATCATACCTCGAGACACACCCACTCGGGCCAGGCACACACCCACTCGGGCCAGGCACACACCCACTCGGGCCAGGCACACACCCACTCGGGCCAGGCACACACCTACTCGGGCCAGGCACACACCCACTCGGGCCAGGCACACACCCACTCGGGTCATGGTGTCCTTTTGTCGGCATCCTTACTGGCTCGAAGATTCTGCCACGGCCAGCATTCAACCGAACATGGATTGTAACGGTGGCAAGACGAACGAGGTAACAACAGGTAGTAGGGTTGATGTCTTTGCAAAGCGGGCCTTGTTATGCGATGACGCCCTGTCGGCTGATGGCGGCAGGGCGACGGAGGTAAGAGAAGCTGAGCATAACTCAACGGCACCTACTCACTGCCCCAATTAAGTGGTGAAGAGATTGAAATGGCTACTGATCTCGATTCGATCATAATTGTATCTCCCTCTTTGCATCCGTTTATCTTCTTACCTTCGCCTACTTAAATCCAGAAAGTTCTATGGTGCGTTTGTGTTTTGGCGCTATCTTGTTGAACAAGAGCATTGCTTTTCCATGCATCTCATCGCTACACTAGTGACTAGCGTCAGTTTCTTGCACTAGTGTTCAACGCAGAATGAGCACATCGTTCCCTCACCAATGCCAGCATCATCGGCTATCTTCCTCCACTCCCTCTTCCTAGCTCAGCAGTATGCTCCGACCGACCTTGCCTCCTCCGTGCTCCCTTTTCTCTTGTCATGCCAACAGTTCTCTCCCTTGGACCACTAATGAGGAGTCCAGCTCATCAGTGCGGCACACAGCCGGGCGGCATGGCAGAGCCACGGGCTGCAGCAGTACCGGGCGTCATGGTGAAGTCTGTCAGCGGTGAGCCATGTGAGTGGCAGCATGTGTGGCAGAACAGTTACTTGGAAAAATACTTTGCAATGTGTCAGGATGGCCGAGTTTCAGGTACTGGTCCGAAAGGGCGTGGGTTCAAATCCCACTCCTGACATGGTTGCCCAGCCGTTTTTGTTAATGTTCCCTGATCAGCTCTCGTCTCTTGTGAGGCTTCTCAGCGTTAGCAGAGTTAAGCCTCGGAGCCGTGTTGGCCCCTTTCTATCCCCACACCCGAGTAGGCGTGGGAGGGAGGCGTGAGCTGCAGGCGATTCGTTGTGTGTTAGTCACGCGGTGCTATTAGGCACCACGCGAGGGATGAAGTAGTGCAAGTGCATGGCATGATGTGTGATGGAGTGTTGAGCATGACTATGTTGCTCCAAGTACATGAAAGAGTGACAAACCAAATCAATGCATCTGATTTCACTAGACTCAAATTGTTGTAGTCTGACTGTGTACTTGCAATCACTGTCCAGTCATGTATCTCCATCACTATCATCACACCTATTGAATTGCTCTGCTGCAGTTTCTCCACGTCCATTCGCCCCTCTCTCTTCCCCCTCACCCCCTGCCACTGCATTCGTTCTTCTGTCATCATCACTTTCCTACATCCATCCCCTCGTCCATTATTCTAACACACTTCTCCTTGCAAACCCCTTTCTATCCCCCTTCTCCCTTCATTTTCTTCCTCCTTCCCCAACTCTCTCTCAAGAGTTCACGGCTCTACCCTGGAGTTCTAACAGGGTCGGGTCGGACCTACCCACCACTCTGCCTCCTTTATCCACCTTCTCCTCCCCCCCCAACGCCTTCTCCACTTCCTCATTCTTTCCCCACCCTCCCCTCCAACCTTCCTCCGTCCTTCTCATTCCCCTTCCAATGTTCCATCCCGCATGCCTTCCACCATCCCCTCCGAGCCATCCCCATTTTCTTGTCGTCCCAACCTCCGACGGTTCTCCATTCACCCCGTTTCAACCATCGCATCCGCTTTCAATTCCATTGTCTTCTCATTCTTGCGATTCACTCCGCCAATAACCAACTCTTCCTCTCCATCTCAGGTACTCCTCCTCTGCCCTCCATCACCCCACATCTTCTCTCCCGCCATAATCCATTGCACATTCAGACACCCTCTCTCGATCCCACCCACAACCGCTTCACGAGGAAAATCTTTTCTCCCCAGTTTCACCTCTCCATGCCCCACTCACCGTTCTACGTACCACTTGACCCTTCTGAGCCCTCCTGCAATGGCAATGGAGGCATAACCTGAAAAAGAAGGGTAAGACGAGGGGCGCGGGAGGGGAGCAGGAGCACTTGGCTTGGCCATGCACTGCTGCTGCAGCAGCCGTTGGATCCACAACCCTAACGCTTGCTCTAGCAGCATCAGCAGTGGTTGTGTCTGTAGCAACTCCTCTCCCACCCCACTCACCTCCTCCCACCCCACTCACCTCCTCCCACCCCAATCACCTCCTCCCACCCCACTCACTTCCTCCCACCCCACTCACCTCCTCCCACCCCACTCACCTCCTCCCACCCCACTCGCCTCCTCTCACCCCACTCCCCCCCTCCCACCCCAATCACCTCCTCCCACCCCACTCACCTCCTCCCACCCCACTCACCTCCTCCCACCCCACTCACCTCCTCCCACCCCACTCACCTCCTCCCACCCCACTCACCTCCTCCCACCCCACTCACTTCCTCCCACCCCACTCACCTCCTCCCACCCCACTCACCTCCTCCCACCCCACTCACCTCCTCCCACCCCACTCACCTCCTCCCACCCCACTCGCCTCCTCCAGTGCCGCACCTATCCTCCCTATCCTCTCCGCCAGCCTTCCACTCGTCTGCAGCTCATTCTTACAACACAATCATGCCATTCCCGTCTCTTCACCACATCTCAAACTCTCTGCCTTTCATCTGTCATGCATAAGTCAATTGTTTTCTCCATCTTCATTGCATACTTAATTGCATGCCTCAATTCATACCACGCATCCGTATTCTGCCGTTCCTAGACCACTTCTGTTTCCGGCCACTTCTGCATATCATCAGTGCCATGCGCTCGCATGCATGCCCTTCCCTTTCCCAGCATAATCTTCTTTCTCGAGCTCTGAGGGGCACAATAATGTTGCCAGTGCCACACACACAGGACTAGAGACTGAGGGGTGGCAGCATGGCGCATCACAAGGCCTGCTGTAAAACGCCTAATGCCCCATGACGGATCATACCTGCCGTCACTTTGTACCAGCAGTAGTATCCCTCGAGCTCATTGGGCCACAATAGGATCAGCACCATGTACTGAGGGTGACAGCATTGTGCATCAGAAGAAGGCCTGGCCTGGTCTGGCCTGGTGTGGCCTGGTGTGAGAGTCATGCCTGCCTTCACGTACGCCTAGCAGAATCCTCTTGGCTTAGAGGGAGTAACTCTGCCTAGTGTAAGAATAATTTGTGACAAGTAGTCAAACCCCGCCATAGAGCAATATTGAATAAGCAACGGAAGTCAACGAAGTTCTTGTAATCAGATTACACCCCCCCTAGCCAGTCAGGCAGTCTTCCCCTATTGTGCACTGTTCCATCCTCCCAAAGGGGTACCCATAAGATATCCAAATGTGATCACAAGGAACAGGTTCACTTACTTTTACTATGCTAGCCTCTATGAGTACAGCGTTGCCAAGACATCAACTTTCATGCTCATGTACACCCTTTGCCAACTCACACCCAGGGTACCGGTATCTCCATGCCACTCAGCCAGTCACAGTCCAGTCTACTATAGTTGGGAGATGCAACAGCATGCCAACCAGCCTGACCATCACAATGGCGCAATTAGGTCCATGCATCCTCATGCATGCCCCCTCCATCGTTCAACATGCATACACACCTACTAACACTCCTGTTTATGCAAGAAAGAGTTAACCGTATGCTGCTCTTGGATGCACACATGCACAGCCAACATGCACACTCCTCCATGTGCTCCCATCGCTCTTCACACCCATTGCCTCCTTGCCTCTCCTCAGTACCCTCCAAGCAGTCACTGTCAAATCCGTCCTCAAGATGTCTCCCTCCCCTCCATCACTCCCTCTCCCCCTGCCTGCCTATCCACCTGCCCACGTCCTTATTGTCAACCAAGTCTCCGTTTGGCAGCTGGAGAATTCTCAGCATGGTCAGGCCAGTCAGCTGCTGCAGCCCATCATCCGTGACTGCCGTGCCATCCAAATATAGGTTCTGCAGCCCTCTCAGCCTTCCCACATGCACCATGCCAGCATTCGTCACCCCCTTGCACCTAGAAAGCCACAGACGTTCGAGAGAGGACAGTGCTTTCAAGTGCAGGAGACCGGTATCGGTCACGTTAGTCAATTTGAGATCAAGGTGCTTAAGGTTAGTCAAAGAACTAATGCCTTTTAGGGCATAGTCTGAAACACCTGTTTTCTGAAGTTCTAGCTCCTCCAGCTGTGGCAGCCTGTAGATGTACTTGATGCCCTCTGCACTGAAGCCTAGGCCGGAGTCCAAGTCAATGCTGTTCAGCTGCGTCATGGTGGACACATGGCGGAGGATGTCGTCTGAAAGGCCGTTGAGATTCCATAAACTCAGATGGGTTCCATGTGATGCCGACTTGATTCTCTGAAGGTCATGGTTGAAGAGGGGATGAGTGTCAGGGAATCATTATTGTTGAAATAGCAAACAATGCATGCCCTGTGAAACCATGCACCCCCTTTGAAACCAACACTCACCTCCCATGCTATCTTCCGACCGCCTCCACTCTGGCTGATTTCCAGGTCAACATTCACTTGATTCCTGCAAACTGGCAATTTCTCCATGGGACGTGGCCGACTCAACTCCTGCACCTCCCTCCTCCTCTCCTCCCTCTTTCTTGCCAACTCCCTCATCTCATCCTCCCCCTTTCGAACCTCCTCCCTCAGCACTCTCAATTCCTGTTCCCTTTTTTTCTCAGCCATACCCAACTTCTCTGCAATATCATTCTTGTGTTCTGTGAGCTTCATCTTCACTGCACTCACCTCCCCCTTCACTGCTGCCACCTCTCTCTCCCTCTTCTCCACATGCCCTCTCATCTCCCGCATCCCCCCCACTCGTCTCCTCTCAGCCTCTTCCAACTGGAAAGTAGTGGACTTCTTTTGCTCAGCCAACTCCCCCCTTGCTGCTGCCAGCTCCCCCTTCACTGCAGCCAGCTCTTCCTTTAATGCTGCCAAGTCACTCCTCTCGCCCACAGCTCCCAGTGCACGCCTCAGCTCATTCACCTCATCCCCCAAAACTTCATTCCTCTCCTCCAGCATCGACACCTGCTCATTCTGCCAGGCCATCTCCTCCCTAATTGCTGCCAGCTCCCCATTCACTTCTGCTAACTCCCCTCTCACCAATCCAAACAGCCCTTTCATTGCTTCGACTATCTCATTTGCCTCAGCCATTTCTGTTGCTTGCGATCAGCCGGATACTCGCTTACTGCGCGACTCTCGAAGTGGATGGCACTGTGGCATGTCGAAATTGGGTGGAGGTGGATGCATGGAGGTAAATAAGGACTGAAACAGGAAGAGAGGTGATAGGAGCACGATCCAATCCAGGTGGACATGAGCAAGCAGCAAGTAGATTGCCTCATTCATTCCTTCTATCTAGTCGATGTGGTTGAGACTGGGGCCTCGCCTCAGCCATCTCACTCACCCATGCCGCTCCCTTTCCAAATTACTCAACTGAGGCAACGTGAGTAACGTTGTTGAAAGAATGAACACTCGCTCCCTACTTGGCAAAAAGGAAGAAAGAAAGCTAACTTGCGAGTAAGATTTCCTCGTCATTTGACCATAACCACGACTTGCCAGAGGAGGTCGATTTTGAAATAAATATCAGCTCGTCAGGGTGGTTTCCAGCTAGAGCAGGTGTGTGGGTGGGTGGGTGGGAGGGGGGCAAGGTGGATATTCAGTTAGTGCAGGCTGGGTTTTCGCAAGGGCGTTGAAGGCAAGGCGAATGTTGCTTGCCTTGTCTTGGCCAAGAAGTACTCGCCGCACAATGGGAGTGACGAGGCGGCGAAGAGGGAAAGCTACATGGCGCGCCACCAAGTATATATGCCAGGATGTTAGTTGCATGGGGAAACCCACAACGAGGAGAGTATTACTCGCCTCGCCGGTAGCTCGTGTCTGCATCCAAGCAGTGCGATCTACCTGGACGGGCTTGGTAAATGACATGTGAGCTGGTATGGTACGGCTCAAGGGACGCAACTGATTCCAGGAAATAGCAGACTACGAGGATGCAACCGAGGAGTTTCAAACCATGATAGCAAAAGAATAGGAAATGTGTGATGATGACGGGACTCACAGCAATGCCTATTCACAGGTATGTGAAGTGGAAATTTGCGTTCAGTTTCCCTGAGCACGACACATCCACGCTCAGGGAATCATGGTACTCAAAAACATGTTCAGCTTGATGCCTAAACGACCGTTTATCGCCCTTCCTGTTTTTTCGCTAAGCACTAGGAACATGGAATCGCGACAATCAGGAGAAATAGGTGCTTTGGTGAAGAACAACTTAGTTGATTGATACAATGCATGATGTATGAGGCACATGCGAGAAACATTGGGTGGGATGGAGACGGAAGCAAGACTCAGGCGGAAGAGAGGAAAAAGTGTGATTATGGGAAGTGACAATTTGTGAGCCAAAATGTCTGGTATGAGGGGACGTGCCTTACCTCTAAGGCCAGTTTCTAGGGTTTCGTAGAGTGAAACGTAGTGCTGGTAGGAGAGGCGATACGGCGCACAAACCGCCAAACGATCTGAAACCACGCAGTTGCAAATAACACGCGAGAACAAGAGATGGCTTTGAAACTGATCTGGGCATAGAAAACACAAACAATTTTCCAATTATTCCTGCACGAAGCCAAGGACGGTATAGCATTCAGAGTGGCGATGAGCACACAAGGCTCAAATTGGCTTGCAGCAGCAGCACTCGAGTGTATTCCTCAGAGTAACTCGCCTTAAAATCTTAAGCTCACTCTGTTCCGCTTCAAAGAGGTCGTGCTTGGTAACAAGACCTCAATTCTTCTAATGAAGAGTGTAAGAAGGTGCCGAACACACACGCATACGGTAGGGAGAAGAGCAAGTGCACGCTAGCACTACTCTAGAGGAAAATATCGCTTACAAGTACTTAAAGCTTAAGAAGTCGATGTAACGGGGAAATTCCATGAGGACAGCAAAGACACAGAGATGATGATGTGACTTGCAGCAATCTCAAGTGACACGCCATTTATTTTCTGAGTGCATTAGTAAGTCAATACGCAAATGGCGTTCAGTTTGCACGGAGGTATGGCACCTTCACGCATGGCTGAGCAATTGTTTACTGAAATGTATCTCATTGCGACAGGCTCTGTGAGTTTGAATGGAGACGTTGGGAGTAATGGAATGATGGGGCCGGCCTTACCTCAGGCCTGTTATTAGGGTTTCGTAGATTGAAACTTCGTGAGGCTATCGCACCTAGCCTTAGAGACTCGAATCTCAGCTCCGGATTGAGCGCCGGACACTCCAAACGATCTGAAGTGCGCAGTAGATGTGAACTTCATTCGATAAAATTAGATGCTTACGTAATAGAAGTGAGGCAGAGGCCAAATGACGCAGACTCCCGCTGAGCGACTCAATGAGAGGTAAAGAGGCGAGCAGATTGAATAGGGAGACGAGGGAGGGATACCGCAGGCTGACTGTGCTAACTGAGACGCGGGTACGGAAGATCTAAGGCGCTACTATTGATCAGTAGTAACGCGACTCGTAGGGCTTCTGATAAAGAGGGTGAGGTGATGGGCATTGAAGGACTTGTGCTTGAGAAGTCCGCCTGGTATGGTTCTGCAAGTTGTACTTCGAATCAAAGGTGTTGAGTTGAACACCATTCAGGGTGGTAACCGCTGCTCTGATATGTGCTGTCACGCGGGCGAAGATTATCAGAGAGGCGAATAATTTAGCAGCTGTGTAACAGCTTGTTTGGCGAGCAGATTCGGAAATACCAAGTGTTGTGCGAAATGTTCTTGCTCGATTTTCGCATCGTACCGTGTCACCCATTTCCTCCTCACAATCATCCGCGCTTCACGCTAAAATACTCGCTATTATTAGGTCATATTCACCAGCAGTTAGATATACGCCAGCAAGCACGGTTGTCGCCGTCCAGATTCAACAGCCGTCACTGTCGCCACGCGTCGTGAGAATATCCTGCATGTCAGCACATCGAGCTCTGCGACTGTAAACGTCGATGTCGTGTGTTCCAGTCGCCCGCAAACGCCGCGCCTTGGCTGTAAACGAAGATGCTGCCCGCGCAGCTCCGCGGATTTGCCGTTTGCCACAATTAGTTATTCGCCGAGCGAGATGCTTCGGCTGCCACTGGCTATCGACTGCGCTAGAAGAGCTAGGGGCCTAGGGTATCAATAGTGGCTCGGTGTAACTCAGTCCTATCCGTCAAACTCCTACTTCACATACGGGACACGTCAGCAGTAGGGGGGAGAGGAAGGCGGATTAATCTCCCGTTGAGACGCAGCAGCTCCATTCTGGGGTACTTGGCCAGGAGGTAGTACCTATCCCACGAATTCAGTGTAGCAAGCAGAGCTTTGAAACGCGGGGTACGACCGTCGAAATGCTTTCTGCGAGTAGTGTACAGAGGGACGAATCAGGCGGCGATGAAGGTACGGGTGGGAAGGCTCCATTGAATGTGCCTCCTGCTGCATCCGCCGCTGTAAGTGTGCCTCCTTCCGCTACCAAGGTTCAGGAGGAAAGTACAAGCAGTGACAACGAGTTTTCCGAGCCGGAATTGATACACCTTGTGATGATGACAGTGCAATGGCTAAGCCACTGCGAAGAGAGCGAACCAGGGACGGCAGCGCAACGTCAAAGAAGGGCCGGCAGGAGAGCCGCCGGGGCTCTTTCAGCATCTAAGGAGCTTCAGGTGTTGTCACGGACGGACATGGTGCATTACGTGGACGTGAGAGGCGCGTGGGATTGGCAAGAGTGCGACTGCTGCTTCGACCGAGTCGTGAGCTTCCGAGGACAGTGCGCACTTGGCATCGACTGCCTGGAAGACTTCCGTTGCGACCTTCAGAATAAGCTACCTGACTCCATCCCCCTTGTTCCCCAAAATCAGCCTCCCAGCTCTATTGTTGAGTATTCTACAGGAGTACCCATGAAGGCGTTTGAGCTTATTAAGGGCTATTGGGCGCCTGAGCAGTCGTTTAGCTTCAAATGTGCCGCGGCGCCGATTCGCTGTGCCGAGGCGATGGTTCTCGAGTGGATGGCGGAGCCTCGTGTGGGCGTGCTCATGGACCTGGGGAGGATCAGATCGCGCCTGCCTGCCATTCTGGCCGCTACGGATGCCCCTACAGCTGCACCTGCCCCTACAACAGCTGCTACCGGCGCTGCTTCTAGTGGCACGTGGGCGAGTCGCTGGGCTGCCTACCGCCGTGCTGTCAGCTTCGCTGCCTTCCTGGTGCTTGTGGCGAGGTGCCCGCGTGTTGTGAACCTGAAGAGGGTGTCTATGTGTAAAAACTCCTCAGCTTATTCCGCTATCCTGGCCAATCTGGGGGCGGGCAGGCAGGCAGAGAATGACTGCTTGGCTTCCGTGCTGGTGCAGGTGCTGGGGTTGAAGGAGAACGCTGATCTGCAGGAAGGGTTTGGGTTCTTCGTGCAACATCTGCTGTCAGGCGGGCTGGAGAAGGCGCATGCAGAGAGGAGGGGGAAGGGGGGAGCCGGACGGAAGGCTGGTGAGAAGGCGCAGGGGAGGGGGAAGGGGAAATCCTTGATGGAGGGTGCTGACAATGGAGCTGCTGCTGGGGATGGCGGCAGAGAAGGGAAGAATGGGCAATGGAGGGAGAATCTGAAGGGTCCTGTATGGGAGGGGTATGTGGATGGCATGGCTTGGATTCTGCAGCATGGAGGGGGGGAAGGGAGGGAGTTCCGGTGCAGTCACTGCAGTGAGGGGGGCAGCAGCAGCAGTGGTGGTAGCGTTACTAGCGTGCAGGCGAATGATATTCTCAAGGGCATGTATGTGAGTGGGGTAGGCGCTACAGAGTTCGCCCTTGCGTTTGCGACAGAGCTGTCTAAGCCAGAGAACTGTGCAGATGCGGGTATGTACATATTTGATGGGAACAACGCAAATAAGGTGAGGGTGGAAGAGGCTGCGATTGAGGAGGCTAGAAGCCGGCTGCAAAGAGGGGTAGGTGGCAAGGGCAGAAAATGGGAATCAGGAGGAACAGGAGGAGAGGTGGCAGCAGCAGACACGAGTGAGGCAGCAGAAAACACGAGACGGGCAGCAGGAAACTCGAGCGTGACAGCAGCAGACACGAGTGTGACAGTAGCAGACACGAGTTTGACAGTAGCAGACACGAGCGGGACAGTAGCAGACACGAGTGTGACAGTAGCAGACACGAGCGGGACAGTAGCAGACACGAGTGTGACAGTAGCAGACACGAGTGTGACAGTAGCAGACACGAGTGTGACAGTAGCAGACACGAGTGTGACAGTAGCAGACACGAGCAGGGCAGCAGAAGCATCGGCAATGGGGGAGATGGGGACTGTTTCCAGTGCTGCTGCTTCGGCTGAAACCCGGCCTTCTACACGAGCAGATGGCACGTCTGGTCTCGTGCCTGTCAACACAAGTCCTGTCCTTGCGGCCTTCACGTATCGAGTTGCCCGCATCTTACAGTGGGTTCGATTCTATGGCTCAGATGTTGTTTTCTTGAGAAGATGCTCCAGGAGTAGGCCACAGCAAAGGATCTTGGAATTTCCCCATCCGTTTCGAGACCTCCCGAGCCTGCTGCTCAGGCTCAACTCCATCCCCAAGCCTCTCAATGGCGCTAATTCTCTTTTGGAGTTGGAGGAATGGCCGCAGGGCGATGAAGTTGCTGTGAAACCTCCTGATAATCCCGGTGCAAGATTTGTCCAGCTGGGTATTGTGGAGGAAAGTGGAGTGGGGTTGGAGCATGGGCAGAGGGTAACAGAAGAAGCATCAAAGTCCGGGAGGAGGTACAAGAGGGGGAAGGGGCGAAGAGCCAAGGCACCAGGCCAAGGAATTGACTGCAGTGGGGATACAAACAGACAGTGTGGTGGAGACCAAAGGGACAATTCATATGCTAGCAACATGGCTGTTCAACGATCGCATCCGGAAAGGAAGCTTCCCATCATCCGTTGCGTGGCGGATGCAGAATTCCTTTTGGATGCGGTCAGCGTGTTTGTGAGCCCACCGGCATGTGCCTAGTGCATTCATTGCATGCGCGGCTACACCTACTTCATCCCTTCCATCGCCCTCATCGTCAAGTTCGCCTACCGCCCCTTCGACGTCCTTTTCAACCGCTTTGTATCGGTCTTCCCGCCCCACTCCTCTGGATTCAGCTCACTTTTGCAATTTATGCGGTTGCCACCGCTACCCCCACGCCCGTCAGCGCAGATCAACCTCGCAAGGATGCGCGGTGAGATAGAGGAGCTGCGCATTCCCTTCCTGCTGCTCGTGGCCTTCATGTGGCCGGCTTCCATTCTGGACATGGAACAGTTTGAGAGTAAACGGGAGTCGGAGGGGGACGGGCTTCGGGTAAAGACGAAGGTTGAGACGGGGAGGAAGAAAGGGAAGGCTCGGAGAGGGATGGGAAGGGAAGGGGAGGAGGAGGGGGTTGAGGAGGAAGAGGATGATGGGGAGGTGTGGGAGGAGTTGCAGTCGTGGTGCTTCGCCGCGACGGTTGCCTGGCCATCCAGCTTGCGTGTCATGTTCAGTAATCCCGATGTTGAATCCGCAGGTTCAGGTCTGAGTGATGTGTGTATGGGCAGTGAGGGGCGGCAGAAGAGGATGGACGTGAAGAAGAGGGTTGCTAAGATGTTCAGATCACTTGAGGGCAAGGGGCTGATGAAAAGAGTGCAACGCCAGGGTGGTGCTGCAGAGAGCAGCAGCACTAGCAGCAGCAGCAGCACTGATGTAGTACTGGGGAGCTACGTTGCCAAATACGCTCTGGGTAGGGTGGCGTACCACGTATATACGATTGCGTACGTACGTGGTATGCTAATACGCTTCGAATTCGTGAAAAAACGCGCGGGCAGCCCGGCGAAAAAAAAAATCGAAATTGAAAAAAAAATGCGACGGTTATTAGGGCTTCGCGACTGGTTACGCGACCAAGCACATCGCCCAACCCACGTCTGAAATTCAAATTTCAGAATCCAAACCTCCCACCACCCCAACCACACACCACCCCACCAAACCTCTCATATCCAACCACCCCTCTCAAATGTCCAGCACGTCATGTGAGCATTTACTCGTTGACGCCTTCCTATCCTTCATTCGTTTCTCTCCTCCTCAATTTCATTCCCGAGCTCTGATCTCCCGTTTTCCTCAAGCAGTTTACCGTTCCTTAGTCGCGCCCCATGGCGTCGAACTCCACCCCTCCTAGCGCGACGAGCAATGTAGCTTCTGGTCACGCGTCTAGTAGTGCGATCAACACGCAGCCTGTTGAGGCTGGCCTTTCGAACCCCATTCTGAAACATTTTCTTATTCCCCCCCACACCAAAGGCAATCCCAAGCTTTGTAAGTTTTGTGGCTTCAAGTTTGAGGGCGGAACCGCTCGCTGCGCAGTTCACCTCGCCAAATGGAAAGGGCAAGATGGACGCCCTGTCAGGCTTTGCAAGGACGTGTCCCCGAAAGTCCGTGAAGAAGTGCGTGCCATGTACGAAAACAAGGAGGAAAACAAGAGCATGAAACGAGGGGCGGCTGCTGCAGCACTCGACTCCGTGCTGGGCGCGGTCACTGCTTGTGCGGAGAAGAAGGGGAAGATAACAGAATTATTCGGCGACGAGGCAACGTGCGCCAAGGAGGACGCGGATAACGCGCTTTGCCTAATGATCTCGGCGCTGAAGCTTCCAGAGCGCATCGTGGATGATCCGGTCTTCCGCTACGCGGTCCAGTGCTTTGCGCGCGCGGGACCGGGGTATGTTCCCCCCAAGAGGGGCTACGTTGGAGGGGCGGGCTTGAAGAAAGTGCGGCAGAAAATGGAGGCAGCGCTCGCCCCCGTTGCCGCGAGCTGGAAGCGGGACGGTGTCACCGTGTCGTCGGACATGATGACCGACCGTTGTGGCCGCCCGCAGGCCAACATACTCCTTGTCAACGACTCCGGCGCAGTTTTCGAGCAGGCCGTGGACTGCAACATGGAGTCGAAGACGGGGGGGTACATCGCCAGCCTTCTCCGCCCCGTCATTGATAAGGTGGGGCCGGAGAATGTGGTGGCGGTCTGCACCGATGGCGGCAGCAACTATGCATCGGCAGCGCGGAAGATTGCAGGCACATGGCCGCACATTGAGCATGTGCCATGTGCCACGCATGTCCTGGACCTGTTAATGGAAGATGTGGGCAAAATGGGATGGGCGAAGGGGCTTGTGGAGAAAGGAGGGGAGATGATTACCTTCGTGCGCAACCACCACTTCACCCGTGCCTATATGAAGAAAGTGGGGGGGAAGCAGGTGCTCAAGCCTGCGGGAACCAGGTTCGGGACACAATACATAGCCATGGCCCGGCTATGTGAGGTGAGGAGTGGGCTGGCGGCGATGGTGCTCAGCGACGAGTGGAAGGTGTGGGCAGCGGGGGACAAGGATAGGAAGACTGCAGCCGAGAAATTCAGGGCTGCTGTGATGGATGAGGAGTGGTGGGGGGTGGCGGAGTTCTTTTCCTCTCTCATGGCGGTGCCATTCAAGGCCATGCGGGCCACGGACTCTTCCGCGAAAGGCATGATGGATAAGCTGCATGACATTATGCTACAGCTTACCGAGGACATCAATGACAAGCTCGACGCTTCAGGCGACTTCTTAACTCGGACAGAGAGGGCAGACATCACCAAGATTGTGAAGGACAGGTGGGACAACTCCCTTGCCTGCCCCATGCATGTGGTTGGCCGGATCCTGAATCCGGCCAACCAGGAGGAGGGAATTTTCAGGAACGATGTGGAGTGCACGAGGGTGTTCAAGGACTACATCGAGCGCCACTATGACCACGTCACCTTCAGGCGCGGCAAGGATGGTGCCCCTCGCCGCGCCTCCCTTGTGCTGCAGGAGGCATTGCTGGCCTACATCAACTTGGAGGGCAGTTTTGGCAAGCTGAGCGCCATAGCTGCAAGGGAGGCGGTGAAGAAAGGGGAGATGAGCATGGTGCAGTGGTGGTCGTGGCACAGCACCGAGTACCCTGAGCTTGCCACCCTCGCATGCCGGATTCTCACTCAGCCCGTCTCAGCTTCTTCATGCGAACGTGGCTGGGCGCAGTGGGAAGACGTCCACACCGCCCGCCGCAACCGCCTCGGGTCCGCCAAGTGTGCGGACCTGGTTTACATTGCGCACAACTGGAACGTTGTGCGCAATTGGTACAACAAGGATGGGGCCAGCACGGTTGTGCCCGGGAACATTCCGGATGCCCCTATCCCCCGCGGCTACAACATGGACGAGGAGGAGGAGGATGACCTGCTGGGGGGGGAAGGAGATGATGCAGTGCTGGCGGATGAGTATGGGGAAGGGGTGGTGGTGGAAAAGCCCCGCAAGGAAATAGGCTGTGGGGAAGCTCGCTAGAGGGTGGGGATTATGTGGATGAACTATGTATTTCTGGATATTTATGAAATAAAATATTGACATGTGTTGTTGTCGGCCTGAACCCCCCCCCTGAAACAGGTTTTTTTATACCTGCCCGGGAAAAAAAGTTTTAGCTGCCCGCCAGCGTATTTTTGCGTATCAGCAGTACGCCAGCCTTGGCGTACCGCGTATATACCAAGCGTATAATACGCTAACGTATTATACTCGGTACTCGTATTTAGCAACGTAGCTGGGGAGCAGCACTGCTGGTGCTGGCCGCAGCACCTGTGGTAGCCGTGGTAATGGTACTGCCACAAGAACTGCTGCTGCTGCTGCTGGTGCTGGTGCCAGTGCTGGTGGTGCTGGTGCTGGTGCCAGTGCTGGTGGTGCTGGTGCTGGTGCCAGTGCTGGTGGTGCTGGTGCTGGTGCCAGTGCTGGTGGTGCTGGTGCTGGTGCCAGTGCTGTTGCCAGTGGTGGTGGTGCTGGCGTTGGCGATGGTGATAGTGATGGTGTTGTTGTTGTTACTGGTGGTGGTGATGATGGTGCTCGTGGTGCTGGCGATGGTGCTGGTGCTGCTGCTGGTGCTGCTGGTGATGGAGGCAAGTGCATTGGGAAAAAACGCAAGAAGGGGGAGCTGCCGGCTCACCTGAAGCCATGGCCGGGGGGAGTAAATCTGGTGGCATGTTTGCGAGAGATGCTGCTGGGGGAGCCGTGCTACCGCCCTTCCTCCCCCGCTGCCCCTTCCGCTGCTCCTACTGTTGTGAACACCACTGCTTCAGCGCCAAGCACAGCTTCTTCGGCCTCTTCCACCCCTGCTGCAGCAACTAATGCTGTTGCCCCAAGCGCTTCTGCAGCGACAGGCACTGCAGCTGCAGCTGCACCCGTTGAGGATGCAGAGGCCAGTGGTCCCGATGCTTGCAGGGAGAGTAGGTGCGGTGCTGCGGGGTGTGGGAGGGTGGAGGGTGGTGGTGGTGTGAAGCTGAGGAGCTGCGGTGGGTGTGGCAAGGTGGCGTATTGCAGCAGAGAGTGCCAAAAGGCGCACTGGCCCTCCCACAAGCTCACATGCCCGGGCAGGACCAGCGGCCGGGGTGGTGGCAGCAGCAGTGGCAAGGTGGGTGACAAGGTGAGCGGTGTGGGTGTGGGTGAGCGGTGTCGGTGTGGGTAAGGTGAGCGGCATCACAGACAAGGCTTGTGAATACTGCTGCAAAATTGTTTTGCAGATTGTTAAGATGTTTTTTGCTCTGCTTGCTGCTCTGCTGGTTGCTCTGTCTGTTGCTCTTCTTCTTGCAAGTCATCCACATCATGCAGCACTGCTGAGAACTCTCAGAGGTGCCCGCAATAAGAATGTGCGTGGAGTTTCTTTGCAGATTGTTGGGTAGGTTTCTTTGCCGCTGTGTGCTGCCGTGCTTATTTGTGCTTGCTGCTAGTCATATACCTTGTGTAGCAGCAGCTGTACTGCTTGCTTGGGCTGCATGGTTTAGGGTGACCACTGACCTAGGTTTCATGTGTAAAATGACTGGCGTTCCTCTTCATTCTCTTTCCCTGGCTTTACCTCACTGCCCTTTCCCCATGCTCACTTGCACCCGCCCCCTCACCTGCTCTACTCAGGATTAAGTTCAACTGGCATGTCTGTTATGCAGAACTCTTCATTGGTGCCTCATTGTTAACTCCGTGTTCAGTTGGGAAATGCACGCATGAGGCTAGACCTCAGAAGTAGATTCTTTAACACCATGTTCATCCTGGGCGATTATGTGCTGCTGGCAAATGTAAAATAACTGCGCGGGGGTCATAAATAACATGCCAATATAGTGTCTGCCCTAGATTTTTCGATGAATTTGTAGAAAGCCTCCCGGGTGCTAATATCCAGGGGATTACAGTTTCCGGGTAAACGAAGAGATTGGCGGTATCAGAAGACTGCCAGTCAGCAACATCTATCCTAGCGTGAATTGCCCTCGGCCAAGTGGCAAGATCTCATGGAGCGACGGAAGCTCCTAGCTGTTGCAGAGGGGCGAGGATGGTAAAGGCAGGGAAGAGGCAGAGCAGAGCCCACAGTCGAGTTGGCCACGGGACTCCCCCCACACCCCCCCCCACCAAAAAACGCGTCAGGGCAGGCCTCGGCATTCATCCTGACGCTACAAGGAAGAACACTACAGCCATTCTGAAAGTTCAGGGCATTTCATATAAAAACATCCTGAGACCTCAGGGTTAAAATTTACACTATTCTGAAATGACAGGGTAAATTCAAAACTGCATCCTGAATTCAGGGTAATCAGGATGTTTTGCCCTGATAACGTGGGGCCTGGTCGGTGATAAGGGTGGTGATACTGGTATTGGCTGTACGCCTGCTCGATGCGGCCTGCAGAGGAGAGGGGTGGGGGATTGGGGGGGGGGGGGGGGGGGGGAGGGGGACAGCAGGCAAGGGTGGGCAAAGCAGGGTAGGCAGGGCAGACAGACAGTGCAGGGAAGGGAAGGGAGGACGAGAAACGCTCAGATGAGGCAGAGCACACTGCTTGGAAGAGTCGCCTGGTTTGAAAAAGCTACTGATTTAATAGAGTACCGTATCGCCCCGGATCAGGCCCTACGATATCAGGAATTTTTCCCTGAAATTCCTGATTTTCAGGGTTTTTTTTGTACCTACCCTGATTTTCCAGTGTTCAGCTTTTTGGGGGACTGATTTTTCAGTCTTTAGGGGCCAGATGACTCTGAACTTTCAGTTTTTTTTTTTAAGGACACTGATTACACTACGTTGTAACGAAACTGACACTGAATGTGGCAGCAGCACCTCCAGCAAGAGAGGGGGAGGGCAGTGGCAATGACAAGGGAAAGGAGGCAGATGAGGAGGAGTTGGAAGAACCAGAGACTAACTGCAGTGATGATGATGAGTAAATAAACCCTCTGTTGCTGATGCTTGCTAGCTAGTTAGTGTTAGCTAGTTAGTGGTATTTGAAGTTCAATATCAGCCTTTACAAAAAGGGAACACTGATGCATCAGACTTTTTCTGAAGGTAACACTGAATTTTCAGGCTTTTTTTGGGGGGGACACTGACGATCAGGGATTCTACACAGAGGGACCCTGATGCATTAACGTGCCTAAAAGTGAATCATAGGCCCTGCCCCGGATATAACCGCAGGCCTATTCAAAGCGCATGCGCTTATATCTGGAGCAATGCGCTTATGGCCGATCCTCAATTATAAGCGCACCCCTTATAAAACCCTGACATATAGCGCATGTGTAATATTTATTTCAAGTCTTTTTATCAACATTAACGAATTTCAATTTTGGAGCGAGGTCACAACCCATTTTCGCTGGGGTTGACTTTCGAAGATCTCACTTCCTCCGCGTCCAGTCAGCACGAGCTGGCACTCCCTCAAAGTGAGGTGTTACACTGTACTTTGCCTCTGTGCGCCGGCAGAGAAGTCACCTGCGCGGGATTCTGATCTGTGACACTCTACAATTTCGACTCGATTGAAATCGCAAGGACGAGACATACAATTTGGTGCATTTAACTTATATTTTTGTATTTGTCATTTTATAAGCGCATGCGCTTTTATTTTTTACTCAATTATAAGCGCACCCCCCTGAAAAACAATGTTTTATTATAAGCGCAGGTGCGCTTTTATCCAGGGTAATACGGTATTTCCTGCTACAAGACCCACGTGCATAGGCCTTGTGGTTGCCGATTTGGACTCTCTCGGGATTACAGTGAGGTGGGTGAGGATGGTGTGTGTCGCGCATGACAAAATCACGTGTACAGCGAGTGGCTTTGCTCGGGGGACCACCACCCACCCACCCACACAAACACATCTCGTTCCCAACAACCCTCTAACCCATCCACCACCCACCATCTAACAACAATCACCAACCACCACCAGCCACGAGCCACCATCCACCATCCACCATCCACCCTCCAGCACGCCCCCCCAACCACCACACAGCCTTGCCCCTCAGATCATTGCCGTATTCCCCACTCGCTGCCTTGCCTTGACTTTGGCCTCACTCGCTTGCCCCTCTTCTCACCACCTACCTGGGAGGGGGAAAGCGAGAAAGAGCCAAGAGGTTGGCACCTTCCTGCAGCACCCCCATCCACGAGGGACTGGGAGTGCATGGAAGTGCCGTGGCAGTTCAGGTGGCTTTGGAGGGAGGTAAGGCGGGTACCCGCGACGTCTCGGCAGGAAACAGCGACCGACATGAGGAACCAAGCTGGCTGCTAGAGCCTTTATACTACGGAACTAGGGCTAAGAGGCTAAGGGAAGAGGCCTAGTTGCCTCTCTCTCTCTCTCTCTCGCTCTAACCCGCTCGGTTAGGAGGATGAATAACCGAACAATGAGGAACCAGGCTCGCTGCTAGAGCCTTTATACTGAGGAACTAGGGCTAAGAGGCTAAGGGAAGAGGCCTAGGTGCCTCTCTCTCTCTCTCGCTCTAACCCGCTCGGTTAGGAGGATGAATAACCGAACAATGAGGAACCAGGCTGGCTGCTAGAGCCTTTATACTGAGGAACTAGGGCTAAGAGGCTAAGGGAAGAGGCCTAGGTGCCTCTCTCTCTCTCTCGCTCTCACCCGCTCGGTTAGGAGGATGAATAACCGAACAATGAGGAACCAGGCTGGCTGCTAGAGCCCTTATACTGAGGAACTAGGGCTAAGAGGCTAAGGGAAGAGGCCCAGGTGCCTCTCTCTTTCTCAAGCAGTCCTTCATTGATAGGTTCATAGGGGTACAGGCATGGTAGGAATAGAGCTAGACAGGCCTAGGCATTGGAGCTACTAATTATGCAAGGCAGGAACGTGAAGCAAGCAGAACATCTGCACACAGACAAACCGGTCAGGTGAGGCATGGCAAGCAGACAAGGCGAGGCAAGGCAAACCAGCGAGACAGGGCACTGTAAGGCAAGGCCAAGCACGGTCAGGGGTGCAGGCAGGCAGGCCATTCAGGCCAATCATGCAGCAACCGAGCCATGGCTACATCACTGGCCAACACCCACTCCTACCTACTGAGCCATCACAACCTCCAGCTCATCCTCCAGCACTTGCCAGAGGTCCCCCAGGCTAGGTTCCCAAGGGTCCCTAGCAGCCTGGGGGAACGCTGCCACATCAGAGAGGTTTGACTTGTTCAGATAGGATGTTGCCTGGGAGCGCTGCAGCATCACAGACCAGCGCTGCCGGTAGTGTGCAGTGAGCCGTGCAGTCGTCGTTGTCAACTTCCCCTGGCGGTATTTCTTCTTGGCTGCTGAGGTGGCCAGTAGCCGTAGGAACTCCTGTGTGTCCGAGGACAGAGCCCCATACGTCTCAACCGCGAGGCCAAAGAAGCCGACGTAGTCTGGCTGATCCTCATATTCCCTGTGCTTCCTAGCCGATGCCTCCTCAGCCGCCCACCCCGGTGGTTTCCGTGCCCTGGTGTCGCGCTGCTGGAGCACAGGGTCAGTCACTGTCACGTCTGTAACCCAGGTCTCGTTTGACTCCCTGTCTCGAATCGCCAGGTCTCCCCTCTTCCTGAGGATCGGTGGGGAAAAAGCTGATGTCTCGTGGAAGCACGTGAAGTCCGCTTCCCTTGCCATCCTGAGGGCTGCAAACACTAGCGCGTTGTGCGTTCTAACGACGTCGCCCCCGTACCCGCACCTAAGGAGATGGTTCGGCAGGCTCGTGTCGTTGATGTCTGAATACTCTCTCTTGCAGGGACACTTCTCAGTGACCGGCATGGACATGCCCATGCGGAACCCCAGCGCCAAGGAGAACTGACCAGGGGCAAATGTAAGGTCAGCTCTCGAAGGCACAGCGTGTAGCCAGTCCCCTGCCCCCACCCCCTGTAGGCTGATGAGGCGGATGGCGTGCCCGCGGTATGTGCCTGGGCGGTCTTTGATCGTGTCAGCCAGTAGTTCCGCTGCTCGCCTCTCATAGATGTGGCGGGAGAGTAGTGGCTGCAGGTTACCCTGTCCTGCTGGCTGCTCCCTGAACGCCTGTAGTGCGGTTCGTGCTGAAGCCGGCAGGGCTGCCTCCAGTGGGGCCAGCTGGTTAACTTCAGGTGGGGCAGGGCTCCACGCATGGTCGAGCCGTGTGACCGCCCTCTTCAGCAAGTACGCCTCTGGCAGGTTCATCTGCCGCAGTAGGGTGTGGGCTGCCATTACTGACGCGATGTAGGCTGCCGGTGCCTCCGAGGTAGGGTCGATGATGCCTAGCCCCCCCAGCCTGACGGGTAGGGTTCCTTGCCGCCACAACAGGCTCTGTTCCAGCTCACTCGCTGGGACCCGTAGCTTTGCCGCCGCCAGGGCCGTCGCCATCAGAGTCTCGCTCCACGACCTCCATTCCTCCCTCTCCAGCACTGTAGCCGGGGTGGTCCGCAGCAGGTACGATATTCTGCGGGAGATGCTCCTCGAGAGTATTAGCATAGC